CAAATAATGAGATATATAGTATGGTTAAAGTCTGTTATTTGCTTTAATAAATTTTTTTTACAAACCAACCTGGTTCAATATTGGCAGTTCTGTCAAAGTTGCCTCCATCATAACCAAACTCAATGTCTTCAGCATTTACAACAAGATCGTCGGCGGACAACTCGCCATTGTCAGCCTCATGTCTTCAGCAGCAAAAACATTATCCTCGACGGAAAAAGGAACATGACGACTAGCTGCAGCGCCTACAAGCCCAACAATGATAAATAACTTATTCACATCTAGTATCATTGTAACAGCTCATCATACCAGGAGAGGAAGGATCAGCTACTACATCCGTATCCATATCCATATCGTCCCCGAAAGCAACGGCGATGGTGAGGATGGATGTCCTTGTCCGAAGCTAGCCTCGATAGAAGCTACGATAGCATTCACTACATATGCAACGCATAATATTACTAACTAACCTCGAAGAACGTGCCTGAAAGAAGTACCATTGTGTGAAAATCCATCTGTAGATTCATTAAGAATACGCTGCTGGTGATAGTTTCGGATTCTATAAGGCACCATTTGATAGCCGAAGCTTGTCGACGCACATGTAGGACAAAAGCACGGAAATAAACGCTCTTCGCCATTGTCCTCCATTGTGAAAAAAAAGTGTAGATTAAGAACAAGATCAGGGATTCCAATAATTGTACCGAGTTTCTCTTAATACTACATTGTAAGCACATTATGCACTTCCCCTTTGGTCCTATTTTCTTATCATGCGTTACCCTCCTCAGTGCAACGCAAAATATTTTATTACAGGGCAGGAACATGACCCTGTGAACGCTAAATTGTTGGTCGGGGGAAGGGTGCATGCTTGCATTTTATACAGTTCAACGTATTGTTGTTTTGCTACACTAATGGCTATTGCATAAGAAGAAAAGTCCAGTAGGGGGTATAGTGAATGCATCAAAAAAGAATAAATGTATGAAAATGATGTTGTTCATCACAGATATTGTGCATGAGCCCCTTTTTCGCTTGTACATAAAGGAAACCAGCGTAAACGACTACTGAATTTGGTTGCTGCATTTGCTACAGGCTGCATATTCTTTTTTCTGGCGCACAACCTGGTGATAGGTAGATATCACCCTGTTTTCAAACATGGTGATATTTACTTTTTCGTGCAGTGTATTTGCTTGTTTCTCCGTTTATTTTTAATGTGTCTTTTTTTCTTTTTACGTTTTGGTATATTATTTGGTATGTTGCAGTCACTGCTTTTCTCTGATTCAGATGTACTTACATCTATGTATTTATGTTTCTCTATATCTTCTGGTGGGTTTTCCCAATCAGTAGTATCATTTACAACATCATCACATTTTATATCATTAAACACATCTTCCCAATGCCTAAAATCTACTGATGGTGGTACCTTTACAGTTGACCATCCTCTATTATTTTGTTGAGGCGGTTTATGTTGTTTATTGTTCTGTGTATTATTACTATTATGTTTTTCTTCTTGTTCCTTCATATATTCTTCTGTATCAGCTAATTCTTATAGTTCCTCTACTGTTTTATCCATCGGTGTATATTTTTTAATATCATCCTGACCACTATTATGTGCATAACGGATAAATGTATGCTGATCTTGGTATTCGTTTTCGAATTCATCTTTGTATAAGTCCTCATACATATCCATGTTTTCATAATACATGAATTTATTTTCATAATCCTTCACCTTCATTGTATATGGATTCCATATTATATGACCTTTACAGTTCTTATCAACATAGATAATATATAAACGATTGAGCGTTGGCTCTAACTCATATACTGATTTATTTTTGTATAACATATGCGGCATATAGTTACTATTCAGTATTATTGGCATATTTTTCTTTTTAGTTATTGACTTTGTGAATTTGCTGTTAAGTTTTAACTGTGTTCCTTCTAACATTTGGTTTAAAAATGTTAATTTGAAATCAGAACCTGTTTCTTCATTATACATTAAATCATAATCATCATCCTTATAATCTGACCAATCATTTTCTTTATTCATTAGATATGCTCGATGGCCACCTTGTTTTAATACATCAATGTTATATGTCTTACCTACATTCGATGGACCTACAATCCAGTATTGTGGTATCTTATTTTTACCACCAAACATTGTTTCAATACCAAACATAGACCACATATGTAATTTATTTCCAGGGTTATTTTCCATATCGGCATCATGAAAGTAAGAATTTAAATTTGATTTTACAGTATCATATTTCCATAGTAATTCTGGATATATTTCGGTAGCCTTCCGCATATTAAGCTGCTTAGTAATTAATTGATATCTAAGTAACTGTTGGTGCATTTTTCTGGTTTTAATTTCATAATTTGGATCCATATTATAACAAATATAATCTTTTCCTTTCATACAATAGCTAATAGACTTTTGTGGATTACCACCTGGTTTAATATTTAGAGTAACACCATCAATAGTAAAGAATTTATGTGCTGTTTTTGTGTCGAACCGCTCATCCATTTGTATCTATATATGTACATGTTTCTCATTGGTTTCTGGTGCAATTTCATCACATGCAATTGCCTTTTCAATTCGATAACCAATACGTTCATGTTTTATAAACCATTCCATGATTTGTTCTTTTGTTAAATGAAAGTCCTTACAAATATATGTGAACAGCCCTTTAGTGTTTTGGAATCGGAATTCTTTGCCGCCCTGTGAGGAATCTGCACCAGAGGTGTTACCCTCTAACATTGCATCGGAAAATTGAGGATTTGAGGATTTGAGGAATCTCACATATTCTCGAATTCTTCCAATTATTCTATTGCGTGCATTATCTTTAGTTTTTTTTATCTACTTTAGCCTGTGTAAGGTCTTTTTCGAGTTCTGACCTCAGTTGTGTGACAAGAGGTTCATACTCAATATGCTGATGGTTTTCAGTAAGGTGTTTTGCTCTTTCAATTAAGAGCGTCAATGTAATTCCTAAAATAGGAACAAATTCAGCCATAATGGCTAAGAATGCGAGAAGGTTGAGTTGGTTCATGTCGATTGTTGAAGTAATAAAAATAAAAAATATAACAAATATATTTTGCTTTATATTCTGTGGTGTTATTTTTATATTAAAAAAAAATTCAATTTTTATTTTTTTCAAAAATTTAAATGTATGTATGCCAAGACATTCGTGCATGAATTATTTCAATAAAAATTAATTTGGCTATCCTGATATATCTTAGCTAATAAGTCATCTAGGGTTACTAGATCGCATTAAAATCATCATAACCATGGCCGGTCCCCCAAATTCCTAGCAGTGCTAGTAACATCTACTTTATGTGTGATTATTCTTAAAGGTAAAGGGTTTTATGCCATCAGAAATAAATCACTTGGGTTCATATGCATCAAAGAAAGCTTACATAATGGCTAAAGTATCGACTCCCCCACATGCCACTAATCCTTCTTCCTTTTCTTTCACTTCCTTCTTATTTCTTATTCCTACAATCGTTTTTCTTCTCTCAATTCCTTTTACATCTTTTATGAAATCTCATCTCTTACTGCCACCCTCTATTGTCCGTTCTCATTGTATTATTGCTACTTCTTTACTCCTTATATTGCTTATAGCTTACTTATACTCTTGAGTATACCATATAATCCCCCACTAAAAAGAACATAAGGGCATTTTATATTATAGTTCTTTATCAGATATATTTACAACGACATCTTTAATATAATGATGCTTCTTAACAAGAAGATTGACTACTTAAATACCAGTACATCATACATATGATATGTATACATGGGTCACAACGGGTCAACAGGTCAGGTCAAGGGTTGGACGGGTCGACCAATGGGTCTGAAAAGCATCAACCCGACCCGTTGACCAGTCCTTGACCCGCGGGTCGGATTTGAACCGTGGGTTAGACTGCGACCCCTACTTCTGTTAGCTAGAAACGATCTAATTCAATGTTGGTATACTTTCTGACTGGAACGTTTGTGTTACATAATCTTGAAAACTTACGAGTCTTTTTATTCAACGACATAATCTTTTTTTGCATATTTGTCTATCCATGAGAAGAGGAAAATATGTCTTGTCCAAAAGTCCCTCATATTCTATAAGAACCGAGCTGAAGAAAAAAGCTACAGGGCCAGCAGCAACAGAGCTCAAGGAGTTATAAGATAAACTGCACTCGTTTACCGGTGATATTAAGAATTTACAAAGAGCCCTGGGACAAGCATGGGCTACTAGTGAGCGCGGTATCAACATGTTGTCAAAACAATTTAGTCAGCTTCATTTGCACCTAAACATTTGATTCAAACGTTTCTGGCTAGCAGATGATCTTTATTTGGGTGTGTCAAATATAAAAATGCTGCAATTCATATACGAATTAGAGATTCTACATATGAAAAACGAATTCCCGGAGTTGAATATTATAGGTCTCCCTTAGTGAATAACTAATGGCTCCATGGCAAAAAGTGAAATGGGCTCAAGCGAATAACTAGTAACCCAACGCGAAAAAGGACTTGGTCGTATATGAAAAAAGGTCCACCCACAGGCGAATCCGAGCTGAGTCTGATCGCAAAAAACGCACTGCCCGAGCACGAAAAATAGGGTGTCCACAAGCGAAAATAAGCTTGTCTACAAGCAATTTTCATAAGCAAAAATTGCCCACTCCCCAAAGCTAGAAACCCGCTCATCATCAGGCAAAAAAGAAGCTTGGGCCTGTAGACGTTTTGAACGCAAAATCCGGTATCATATGCAACAGCTGTTGTCCCTGCGGTCACGTAATTTGTTGATTGTAGTGGTTTCGGTAGCTCTTATCCAATTTTTGAGGTCCTGCTAAAAAGAAATAAGAGCCGACTTCTACTGAGCGTACTGTGCATGCTTCTTCTTTGTGTCAAAACCATAGCAACAAATCGTTGAATCCTTAGTGTCAATCACCAGAACCATTAGCGACAATTACCATAACTATAGCAACAATTCGTTCAATACTTAGCAACACTTATCGAAATTATGGATAACAACTACCAAGGATACACTGGTACGGACCAGGAAAGAGGAGCATAAGAGCCAAAGAATGAAGCTCACGACGTATGTTGCTTATTTGCAAATGATAGAGCTATGTGGCTACATTGCTGGTACTGATACACCAATGCTAGCAGGCTTTGTGGACAAGAATAAAGCACAGATAGGTGCCTGGAGTCAATCGACTAAAGACTGGACTGGAATGGCAAGCGTTTGGTCGCGTCGATTTGTCTTGGATTACTTTTAAAATAATTTAGTAAATGAAAAGAATCTCTCTATACTTTTAAATAATTATAGCACATAAAGATAATTAATACTAATACCACTAACATTTGCTTGGTTTGGTTTGCTGCCTAGATATCTAGGGACCAAAAGTGGTATAGTTTTAAGACAACAAGAAACCTTAAAACCTACCTTTTATTTTGATTTCCCCTTTTCCTCCCTCGTCTTTTTAATAGACTACCACTAATAAGATAAATAATAAATAGATTATTTTATGTATATAAATTATTTGTTACTCACAATTATACAAGAGATTCTTACCCAGAGTTTATCCTAGATTCATATAAACAAGGATAACATATGGGTTGATTGGGGATATTTAATACCTAAATAGATTTACTGCGTCATAGAGGATTATTTTAATTTAAGATTTATAATAGTTGAACTTCTACCAATCTTAATCACCTCAAATTTGTTTAGTTTTAGTCTTTCTTATAAACTATAAAAGTAAGGAGATGACAATGTAAACCAACCCCTTGATTAAGAGATTCTCCTTTATTATAATATTATATTCACACAATTTAATTCAAAACAATTTTTAAAGACAGTAGGTGCAATTAGAACATTAGGTGGTCTTACTTCAATATATCATTTAACTAAAATGAAATTAAAAAATGATTCAAGATTGAAAGAAAGAGAATTAATTCTTGAAGAACAAAAACATCTTTTAGAAAGAGATAAATTTGAGTTTGAAAAAGAAAAATAGAATAAACAATTTCAAGAATTATTAGATTCAAAATCTTCTTCAAATCCTAATCAAATAATTCTAATTCATCTTCAGAAAATATTACTGTTGATTCAATCTATGAATGGGATCTATTCAATACTACTGATCTAAATCTAACTCAATTTGTTGGATTTGTAGAACTACTAATTGGTTCTATAGTATTATTTTCTTTATTGTTTTTATTAATGGAATATATTCTTGATAAAACAATTAATAAATATCAAGATAAATTACCTAAATGGCTTAAATCATTATCAAATTTAAGATCTAAATTTATTTTTATCAATTAATTATTACTTATTTTTGAGATTATGATTTTATTAATTTTTAACTTATTATATAGTTTATTCTTATTTATTTATTACCATAATGAAATTGTAGGTTCTGTAGGAATTACCATTTTAAGTTATTCATCTCTTGGTTTAATTTGTACAATTAGTTTATTTATCAGATTATTAATTAATTCTAATAATAAAGTTAAAGATAAACTATTACAAATTAATATTATTCAAAGATTAACTGATAGTAATAAAGAAGTAGATAACCTTTCTATTAAAACAGATATAATTTGGTTTGTTCTACTTCAAAGTATTATGATTGTCTTTACTTTATGGCTATATTTATTTGGAATTGTATAATATATATTCCTATAATATGTAGTATAATAAACTATGGTTCTTATTTAGAACCTTACCCTTTAATTAATCCCTTTAAATAGTATAAACATTCCAATTAAGTAAACTAACCCTGAACCCTAAATAAAAACTACATCGTATCATTATAAATAGGGGGAAAACATTTGGGTTAAATTAATTTAAAGACTTATAAATTTATAGAAAAGAGGTTCCCTTCTAAAATTCTATTTTTATGGCTGTTTTTTTTTATTAGATCCTATTTAAGTTATTAAATTGATTTGAATAAATCGCTCTTGTGATAAAAAATTTTTTAAAAATATTTTATAGCAAGGGTGGGAGATTTATTCTTTGCTTCTAGTTTTAATCTTTTCTATCTTAGAGCCATACCCCGACTATCCCCCACTAGACCAGGGGGGGGTACTCGGCCAATGGGGGGATACATTATTTCATAATAAAAAAATTATTACTAACTATAGATGAGAAAAAATTCATCACAAATTTAGCGATTGCCCTATTCCCCTTCAACTTTCCCAATTACCATAAGGTATTCCACCTTGTGGGGGTCAAGTTACAACATATAATATTCTATCAACAAAATATTATTATATAGTTAATGTTTTAACAATTAAATTGAGTAACACAATTCAAACTTATGCTTATTCTACCTTTTCAAAATTTAAAAATATTAAATGGGAAGGAATTAATAAGGATAAAGGGTATTAAAGGGGGGTGGTGAAATATCTATTGATTGATATTCCCCTGAGTTTATAGTTAAAATCCGAAGTGTTCACTAAGCTTATTAAGTTAGCATCTGAGTATTTAGCCTAGGCTAAATACTGTAGTGCTAACTATATTAACTAAATGAGGATTAAAAAATATTTTATTAGGAATAGATTCTAATCCCATAGTATAAGCTAGTAATTAAATTCATCTATAATATTATCTACTAAATTACTATAATCTGAATATTAATACCAATACCTTCATAATTTGGTTCAATTAATAATTCAATATTATTTATACCAGTCCTATGTTTATCTCTTTTTTTCTGTATCTAGTTTTAGAAAGACTCTTAATTGTTGTTCTAAAATTGTAGTAAAGTCATTGAATGACAATGTTTCATGTCTATATTCATTACAAGATTTATAATAACTAGCATATAAATGTGTTTAAGGATTAGAATTCTTTTTACCAATATAAGTTAATTTTCCTAGTTTATATTACTAAATTAAGATTAATCCATTCAATTAATGGATTTGTTTCATTTAAAACATTAGGAGAAGTTAATTTATTTGTTTCATTAGTATTACTTAATAGATTTAAATTTTTAATAGGATTAGATAAAGCCCAATTAACAAGACTTGTTAATGATTCAGCTAATTTACCTTCTGTTTTATCTATATTAAAGCCATAATAAAATAGATTCCTATCCACTTTTTCTGGAACTTTAGTTACTAGAATATAAATAACTCTTCTTTGTAAACCTGTGATAGAGTCTTTTGGTTGCCATAATAAATTACTAGTTAACATTATTAGTGATCTAGGTTGAAAATCGAATGCATCCCTATATTTTCTTTCAGCATTCATAATATCACCTTATAATTAATAATCGTAATTTAGCTGGATTTCTAGTATAACTTTGTACATCAGAGAATAAGATTAAAGATTTATCCAAATTTTAGAAGAAGTAAATGTTTTATTTAAATCATTAAGATTTAATACTGCTGAATTATTAGCACTTACTAAACTAATAAATAATCTCTTTCATATAATTACCTTTAATTTATAAATTAAGCCTAAAAAATAGTATGACTTCATTTTATATTAATGATTTAATGAATAGAGTAGGACTTGAACCCACAAGGACAGTTACGTCCATAGTTTAGCAAACTACTTCCTTACTGATTCAGTCATCTATTCTACCGAGATACCAGGTCTTGGCCTCGGCCTGGGACCTGGTATTTTATTAATTTAATTAAAGGCCTTTGGATAGAAGTTAATCCTTACAGACCAAGTATATAATAAAAGTATTATATTTTAAGTTATACTTTATAAATGACAAATATTTTTTTTATTTATTAATTTAGGGAATAGTAGAGTTGAACTACTGCCAGTTATGTGTAAGATAACCACTCTACCATTATTATAAACTATTTAGGGAATAGTAGAATCGAACTACCGACTTTTAATTTGTAAGATTAACACTCTACTACTGAGTTAATCCCCTGCTTTTTTATTAAAAATAAAGATATTGTTACTTATATTACTATTAGTTTATTATTTATCTTAGATACTGACAAGACTCTCCATATGAAGGTTAGTAATTTGAGCTTTATGGGAAATTCTTTAGATTCTAAAGAATTTCTTTAATGGAAGTGTTTTTAAATTACATTGATAAGATGTTCTATTAACATTTTTATAATGTCTTAAGAATTCTTCATGACCTCGGCCCAGGGCCAAGATCCCTTCGAGATCGAGGCCCCAGAGGGATTAAAAATTGAAGATTATTTTTAAAAAATGTATATTTATCAATATGTCTTCAAATTAGAAGTATTTGCGCCCAGATATTGAAACAAAATAAGTACGGTATAAATAATAGTCAAGTCTTTGTTAAACTTTCTGAACGCCTATCATTTTAGCACACGCTGCGATCCACGTATTTGGAAAGAAATCCTCGCTCTTATAAGTTTTTAGCAGTCAGCAACACATTTTTCATTTTCTGCATAAACACACCACGCACAGAGAGAGAGAGAGAGAGAGAGAGGCTAAGAAGAGAGTATGATACTAACGCGTAATGTTTTTTTGACCAGCGTGTTGCAAAGGTAAAGTATCACGTTGAAGCAGTAAAAACAGCAACGGCAGCAGCAGAACCGGCTAATGAGGCTATTCGAAGCGTCCTTCTTGTTAGTTCTTCCGCGACAACAAAAGAGTAAGTGCGAAATGTAATGTGTTGCTGCAGCAAATTAGTTGATACTTCCCGACAGTTATAATAACAACATATTCATGTAGAGTTCCTGATGACGACCTTGAATCCGCCAAATCATTATCTAGTATCGATGAAAATCCGAAGAAGCTATACAAAGACCGGTTTGAAGTGTTTCCCTTGGACCTTGACCGAGAAATCAAAGATCGTGCTGATCGGGTAAAAGAAAAAGCAATTCTTTCATTTCAAACATATTGACAGATAGATATACTAACTGCATTGCAATCATTAAAGTGGATCGCTTCAAACAATGTCGATATAACCAAGTTGCTCGAGGCCTATCAAAAAAGATCTATTAGTGAAACAAAAACAAACAAAACCATTAGCAATATTCGAGCATTGTAAGTAACTTTTTTATAATTGCTCGATCATTATTGTTTTCGTTTTAACGTACCTTTGAATATATGATATTCTTACATAGGAGCCTCTGTTGCATCTTTTTCTTCGGCCTCAAGGAATCAGTGGTAACCGTCAAGGAAGACGAATTGCTTCGCAACCAATGCAAGCCAGATTTACCAAGTGTGTTGCCAACGTGGGCGAGCGATATCGAACAGGTATGAAAATCATTGAAAATGACTATATTGAATTAAAGTCTACAGCTGTCACAAGACAAAGAAACAGACAGCTGGGATATAAAGCAAACAATACACGAGTAACAGGCAGCCGCAATCGAGAGCAGAGACTTCGTGGCATCGGTTTTTATTGATGTTCTGAACAGTTTCGTTGGTGTTCCCTCAGCATGCGATAACAATATCGTAGAGGACACATTGGTACATACATACCTACACGCCCTACTGCACGCACTTTTTGTCAAGGATGCACCGTTCGGCCACAAAAGGTAAGTTGTACTTAGATAGTAGAGATATCAAGTCTCTGTGGTTTTTTGCTTTTTCTAAAAGAATCACTGGAACGTAGACTTCGATATATCTTTCACTACCAAGGCTGACAAGTGTATACTATAGTTCTCTTCTTTTTTTCTGGAAAAGGGCAAACGCTGTGCTGGAATCCTCCCGAGATTCCCTAAACCAGCTGTTCCCTGATTTCACCGCCTACAAACGTGCTTCCAGTCGCACGTACGATTTGTTCGTTGTCGAGGTTAAGCGACCAACCTCCAGTAAATCGGATTTTATAAAAATGGGTATCATGCTTCGCGGCATGATTAACAAGCTAGTTGAACTCAGCGTGCCCAACCCGACAGTATGTGGATTGATCGTGAAAGGTAGCACTTTAAATGTATTTATCTAGTGTGGATTTGGTCTCCGCGTCAATTTATTAACGATAGTTCTGTACCATAGGTTTCAAGTGTACAACGTACCGATTAGACCTCAAAGCAAAGCATGTGTACAGAATGGTCGAATTGCAAGAATTCCTTCTACCACAAGAAAGCAATCAAGTAGGCTGCTTGCCGACTTGTATCCAAGCGTTGGGGCAAGTTAAAGTAAAACAAAGATCCTGATCCATGTTCGCTATACACTGTATACCGCTCCAGCTAATATTATTAATTTAACCAATTCATAGGAGATCCTGGCGCAAACAGCCAAGAACATCAATGATTGCGACCAACTCCTCAAAAACGGAAAAGTTCTTAAAAATCGCACGCCTATTGATTGGATTGTAAAAACACAAGCTTCTTCCATGAAAGAAAAAAAGAACACAAAAAGCAAGGGCAAAGGACCAGTAAGAGGCACATCGTCTTTGGGACAAAAAAGAAAGCGATAATTATTGACCATCAAACACTTATACCCCCATCCTATCTCCTATAATCAAAGCAATTCTTCATTTTTATTACATCGTTTGAAATCAATGTTTGTATTCTCTCCTTTCTGCCGCTGCAGTTGCAGTTGCTGTTGTATCAGTTCCACTTGTTCCATTCTTCGTTGTCCAACGAGCCATTCACTTAAAGACAATGCCTTGTGTCTCTGCTATTCAAAGAGATGAATATTGTTTACAATTATTATACAATATATTAATGTATGAAAAGAAATTATTAAGTGAAAATAATACCAATAAATTAAAAAATGTGGATATAATATTTGATAGAATAAAGAGTATTTTTATTGATCTTGGATTTTCATTTGATTTTCATTATAATACATAATAACTGTTTTTAACATTTCAAACAAATTATGATGATACCTTTTTCTAAAAGCATAATCTAAAAAATACAATGTATATAGCTCAGAATCTTTTTTTATATTGGGCATATATTTTCTTAAATGCATCCAAAAACCTTCCATACTATTAGTATGTATTGTTGAATCATTTGGATCCACAAAATATTTCGAATGATCAACTGCTTTATGAATATATCCCATCTTGTTTAAGCTTGTATAAGATTGTAAACCATCAGTGATTATAGTTGTTCCTTGATAAACTTGATCCTTAATTATTAGTAATAATGTTGACATTTTTCGATTTTGAACAGGCACCAGAAAGAACAGATTTAAATTTCTTTGATAACCACCTAATATCCACATATGTTTTCTGCACCGTTTATGCTTTGCAGTAGTAATTTTTGTTTTGCCAAAACAGCATTCGTCGATTTCAACAATTTCATCTTGTCCACCAATTACATTTTTCCATAACTCTTGATTGTTAAGGATCCATGTTTTTATCACAAAGTGTATTTTTAAATATAATTGTGTAACTGTTTCATCATCGATTCCCATTTGTAGAGACACTTTTATAGGAGAAGGATCTATATAAAAAACAAATTAATATTATATATGTTATCTTATAAAAGATACATACCAATGTATTGGTTGTAGATTTGTTTTTTCAAATAATGTTTCGGCAAATACACCTTTTCTGATATTATCTGGATAATAATAAAATCGATATCTTTGATAATATTTTCCAATAGATAATGGTTTTTCACATTTTTTACAAATAAAAGGTTTTATAAGTCCTTGCTTCTATAAATAGATTATAGCTTGTTCATGATCATAAAGTGTTCGAAATAGTGTTTCATTTGATTTAAACATTTTGATAAAGAAAAAGAAAAAAAGTGTTTTATGAAAAGTCAAAAAAAAAAAATTATATAACTTTATATTTTGTGTAACTTACCAAAGAACGCTTGTAACCAGTATTTGCGCCCAGATATTGAAACAAAGTAAGTATGGTATAAATAATAGTCAAGTCTTTGTTAAACTTTCTGAACGCCTATCATTTTAGCACACGCTGCGATCCATGTATTTGGAAAGAAATCCTCACTCTTGTAAGTTTTTAGCAGTCAGCAACACATTTTTCATTTTCTGCATGAACACACCACACACAGAGAGAGAGAGAGAGAGAGAGAGAGGTTAAGAAGAGAGTATGATACTAACGCGTAATGTTTTTTTGACCAGCGTGTTGCAAAGGTAAAGTATCACGTTGAAGCAGTAAAAACAGCAACGGCAGCAGCAGAACCGGCCAATGAGGCTATTCGAAGCGTCCTTCTTGTTAGTTCTTCTGCGACAACAAAAGAGTAAGTGCGAAATGCAATGTGTTGCTGCAGCAAATTAGTTGATACTTCCCGACAGTTATAATAACAACATATTCATGTAGAGTTCCTGATGACGACCTTGAATCCGCCAAATCATTATCTAGTATCGATGAAAATCCAAAGAAGCTATACAAAGACCGGTTTGAAGTGTTTCCCTTGGACCTTGACCGAGAAATCAAAGATCGTGCTGATCGGGTAAAAGAAAAAGCAATTCTTTCATTTCAAGCGTATTGACAGATAGATATACTAACTGCGTTGCAATCATTAAAGTGGATCGCTTCAAACAATGTCGATATAACCAAGATGCTCGAGGCCTATCAAAAAAGATCTATTAGCGAAAACAAAAAAACAAACAAAGCCATTAGCAATATTCGAGCATTTTAAGTAACTTTTTTATTATTGCTCGATCATTATTGTTTTCGTTTTAACGTACCTTTGACTATATGATATTCTTACATAGGAGCCTCTGTTGCATCTTTTTCTTCAGCCTCAAGGAATCAGTGGTAACCGTCAAGGAAGACGAATTGCTTCGCAACCAATGCAAGCCAGATTTACCAAGTGTGTTGCCAACGTGGGCGAGCGATATCGAACAGGTATGAAAATCATTGAAAATGACTATATTGAATTAAAGTCTACAGCTGTCACAAGACAAAGAAACAGACAGCTGGGATATAAAGCAAACAATACACGAATATTAGGCAGCCGCAATCGAGAGCAGAGACTTCGTAGCATCGGTTTTTGTTGATGTTCTGAACAGTTTCGTTGGTGTTCCCTCAGCATGCGATAACAATATCGTAGAGGACACATTGGTACATACATACCTACACGCCCTACTGCACGCACTTTTTGCCAAGGATGCACCGTTCGGCCACAAAAGGTAAGTTGTACTTAGATAGTAGAGATATCAAGTCTCTGTGGCTTTTTGCTTTTTCTACAAAAGAATTTCAGGACATATACACACATAAATAAGTCTTATGTGCCTCTTTTTTGTTTCTTTAGGTTTTTAATTAAGTTGAGTGCAATTGATGTATAGTACCAGTGCACTCTCACAAGTAATTAAAATATATATATATTTAATGTAAGAGCTTTTATATTATGCAATTTGTGGTTACAAAAAAAAACAAGCGAAGCATACAATATAATCCATACTAATAGTTGGATTTGATGAGTATTCATACATAGGCAATCAAAGGAAGAACCTACTTGCTATCGCCATATTTTGGATTACCAAGGCAATAAGATAGTTTACACACACCAAAAAAATAAAAAATATCTGAACAAATGTGATACAGTAGGCATTTTTTAGCATAATTAATAATAAAGAAAGTATGTTGAGGTGTATGGGGGTACTACAAGTTATAATAAAGAGGTGTTGAAATGTGTACAAATTATGATGAAGAAAGAATGTTTGAATGTATATATGGATTTTACAAGATATGTTGGTAAAGAAAAAATGTTCGTCGAATGAATTTGTGGATGTTACAAGGTATGATAGTGAGATGTTCAAGTGTGTATGAGGGTCTGACAGTTGTAATAAAGAAGAGGTGTTCGGATATATAAAGGGGGTTGCATGTTATAATAAGAATAAATGTCCAAAAGGATATGAGGGTGATACAAGTCATAGTGAAGAAAAGGCGTTCAAATTTATATGTGAATGTTTCAGGCTATATATGTGTTCAAACATACAGTTACGCGTCAATTTGCTGATTCTTGTGAAGAAGTGTTTGATCTCCATGCCTTGTCGAAACTGTTTGCGTGAGTGTCATCAGTTGCTGAAACTATAAGATTCATAAAGTCGATTGTAGTACGCTTTGAAAAAAATTCTTAGTACTAATGCCAATCAAAACAAAATAGACAGATTGTAGAAATACAAACCTTATACTGAAGAAAACAATTGTAAACAGAAATAAGCTTATCTGGTGCAAGATTGCTAGAGATGTGTAAGGCTTCAGTAGATCGTTTTGCAATGGTAAACTTCTTATCAACGGCCTCTATGAGCAGAATATCAGCTTCGGTTCCTATATACAAATATACAGATATTGATATAAATTTATATATATGAGTGGACTCATAGAATGGATTTCCGGTATAATCAAAGAACGAGTAACCTACCTGCACATTGTAATAAAGAAACTTCGGGCTTCATGTGATGAATTTTAGCACTGTCGATTACCATGTTTCCTTCTAATAGTAATTTTACTTGGTCGGTTCGCATTTTTCCAAGATTAGCTGATTTAGAGAATTCCCCAGTGGACAATACATAGTTCTGTTTTTCGTGACAGAAGTTCACTCATAAATCCACTTTGTAGTAGCTATCGTCACCAACTCCACGAAGAACTGATTCTCCCCTATAGAAAAATTGGGCTTTATTATTATCAATGGTTACTTATGATACAGCTCATTAAAAAATTAGGTTTTACCAACCAAATCTTAATTATCAACCAGAACTTACCATGTCAAATTTAACTTTCTACAGTCTTCAAATAAAGCAAAAAGCATTGGAGCCCATAAACGCACAACATAGTCGGTTTCGGTCAACTTTTTCTTTTCTTGGTTGTTAAAAAGTTCGGGATGTCGTTCAAGAATTTCAAAGCTATTATGATAATAAAAGTGAGTATAATGAGTATCATATATAAATTCTTATATCGACCCACCAAGAAACCTCCTCTCCTTACATTTTATGTACAAAGCAATAAAAATTCCGTTCATCACCAGACACCAGTCATCATCGATTTTTTGTACATATCTCTAGCAAGATCAATAGCACTAACAATATTTCTTCCTGCGGCCTATGTAAGTTGTCTATTAGTATTTATATCGATCCTTCTCAGCTCAATATGTTTCCCTTTTTTTTAAAGAAAAGTTTTACCTTTGACAATTTTTTAATGAAATCCATTGTTTTTTGGTCTACATATAACCGTTCCTTCGTAATAGGATATGTATCTTTTAGTTCTTTCCATTATGCTTTTGTAAAAACTATCTTCTGTCCTTTGTTGCTGTGGTCAATCAGATTTAGAATATTGTTTTGGGAGAGGCTAAAAAATGTAAAATATGCAAATTGTAAGTTGGTTTACTCTAACAAAGTCTGTGCTACAGTTACTTACAGAATAAGCCCATGAAAATCTTGATCGGCTTGACTGTTTAGAAAAGCCTTAGTATATTCTTTAAATATATTTCCAAGTGATTTATCGGTCCATGATACAGTCACTTTATCTTGACTGATCTCATCCAGCAACTATAAAAAGTTTTTATTTAGCATTGCAAACAGATCAAATAACTTCAACTAGTTCGGAGCCTACCTTAAGATCCATGATTCTGCTTGTTTTTGGAGCTTCTTGTTGCTCGTTATAATGTCTTGTTTTTCTTTTTTTCTGGGTTGCCTCATATTTCTCTTTTGTAAACGTGGACCACTTATACTGTGAATGTTGTTCTGTTACCAATTGTTGCAATGTTTCAGTTGACCTGGCAGAAACTGACAACCAATACTCGTCGATGAATGTTGTCTCCAAAACCTATTACATAGGTTTGGACATAAGAATTACTTGTAAGCATAAGAAAAAAGATTCGCAGTTACCTGGTAGTTATATTTACAATAACGTTCTGCCTACGCTACAATTTGTTCATCTCCACCGTTCTTCAAGGATTCCGGCAAGAAGCGGCAAATGGTAATTTTAAAAGAGCGATGATATTTAAATTTTATCTAAATTTGCATAATATTTTTTTTAAAAATTGAATTTTTATAATATATATAAAACTAATATCAAAATGGAAGAGACACATAAAAATTTTACATCAAAAATAAAAAGATCAATTATAATTAATTTTATGATTGAAAACAATATTAAAAATGTTAATATTCTATATGATGAAAAAAATAAACAAATTGATTTTGAAATATCATATAATAATGAAAATTGTCAACAAGAAGAAAAATATCAAGAATATTATAAAATAACAAAAAGAAGAGGAAGTAAAAGAAAAAAATACAATAACAATAAAACAAAAAATTTATCAACACCATCTGTTACAGATGATAGTTCATTAGAAGGTAATGATATATTAGTAAGTAATGAAAATTATAATAGAGAAAAAAATATTGATGAGCTATCAATAGATAATAGTGAAATAGAAGATAATAACAATGATAGTAATAAACGAAGTCTTTCAAATCTTAGTACTCCTGATATTAGTAATACTAAAAAGAAAAGATATAATAATAATAATAAATGTAGAAATTTTGAATACAATGGATGCTATGTAAAAGAAGATAGTAATAGAACATATTGTGAATATTGTTTAAAAGATGGTTATTATACAGATGATAGCAATTCAGATGATGATAATTCAGATGATAGCAATTCAGATGATGATAAAGAAGATAATGATAGCAATAACATTAATAAAAATTTTCAAAGAGATGAATATTGTTTACAATTATTATACAATATTTTAATGTATGAAAAGAAATTATTAAGTGAAAATAATACCAATAAATTAAAAAATGTGGATATAATATTTGATAGAATAAAGAGTATTTTTATTGATCTTGGATTTTCGTTTAATTTTCATTATAATACATAATAACTGTTTTTAACATTTCAAACAAATTATGATGATATCTTTTTCTAAAAGCATAATCTAAAAAATACAATGTATATAGCTCAGAATCTTTTTTTATATTGGGCATATATTTTCTTAAATGTATCCAAAAACCTTCCATACTGTTAGTATATATTGTTGAATCATTTGGATCCACAAAATATTTCGAATGATCAACTGCTTTATGAATATATCCCATCTTGTTTAAGCTTGTATAAGATCGTAAACCATCAGTGATTATAGTTGTTCCTTGATAAACTTGATCCTTGATTATTGGTAATAATGTTGACATTTTTCGATTTTGAACAGGCACCAGAAAGAACAGATTTAAATTTCTTTGATAACCACCTAATATCTACATATGTTTTCTGCACCGTTTATGCTTTGCAGTAGTAACTTTTGTTTTGCCAAAACAGCATTCGTCGATTTCAACAATTTCATCTTGTCCACCAATTACATTTTTCCATAACTCTTGATTGTTAAGGATCCATGTTTTTATCGTAAAGCGTATTTTTAAATATAATTGTGTAACTGTTTCATCATCGATTCCCATTTGTAGAGACACTTTTATAGGAGAAGGATCTATATAAAAAACAAATTAATATTATATATGTTATCTTATAAAAGATACATACCAATCATCCATTGATATAATAGTTCTACTATTTGTATTGGTCATAGATTTGTTTTTTCAAATAATGTTTCGGCAAATACACCTTTTCTGATATTATCTGGATAACAATAAAATCGATATCTTTGATAATATTTTCCAATGGATAATGTTTTTCACATTTTTTACAAATAAAAGGTTTTATAAGTCCTTGCTTTTGTAAATAGATTATAGCTTGTTCATCGTCGTAAAGTGTTTGAAATAGTGTTTCATTTGATTTAAACATTTTGATAAAGAAAAAGAAAAAAAGTGTTTTATGAAAAATCAAAAAAAACATTTTTTACCATATATTTTGTGTAACTTACCAAAGAACGCTTGTAACCAGTATTTGCGCCCAGATATTGAAACAAAGTAAGTATGGTATAAATAATAGTCAAGTCTTTGTTAAACTTTCTGAACGCCTATCATTTTAGCACACGCTGCGATCCACGTATTTGGAAAGAAATCCTCGCTCTTGTAAGTTTTTAGCAGTCAGCAACACATTTTTCATTTTCTGCATGAACACACCACACACACAGAGAGAGAGAGAGAGAGAGAGAGAGAGAGGTTAAGAAGAGAGTATGATACTAACGCGTAATGTTTTTTTGACCAGCGTGTTGCAAAGGTAAAGTATCACGTTGAAGCAGTAAAAACAGCAACGGCAGCAGCAGAACCGGCCAATGAGGCTATTCGAAGCGTCCTTCTTGTTAGTTCTTCCGCGACAACAAAAGAGTAAGTGCGAAATGCAATGTGTTGCTGCAGCAAATTAGTTGATACTTCCCGACAGTTATAATAACAACATATTCATGTAGAGTTCCTGATGACGACCTTGAATCCGCCAAATCATTATCTAGTATCGATGAAAATCCGAAGAAGCTATACAAAGACCGGTTTGAAGTGTTTCCCTTGGACCTTGACCGAGAAATCAAAGATCGTGCTGATCGGGTAAAAGAAAAAGCAATTCTTTCATTTCAAGCGTATTGACAGATAGATATACTAACTGCGTTGCAATCATTAAAGTGGATCGCTTCAAACAATGTCGATATAACCAAGATGCTCGAGGCCTATCAAAAAAGATCTATTAGCGAAAACAAAAAAACAAACAAAGCCATTAGCAATATTCGAGCATTGTAAGTAACTTTTTTATTATTGCTCGATCATTATTGTTTTCGTTTTAACGTACCTTTGACTATATGATATTCTTACATAGGAGCCTCTGTTGCATCTTTTTCTTCGGCCTCAAGGAATCAGTGGTAACCGTCAAGGAAGACGAATTGCTTCGCAACCAATGCAAGCCAGATTTACCAAGTGTGTTGCCAACGTGGGCGAGCGATATCGAACAGGTATGAAAATCATTGAATATGACTATATTGAATTAAAGTCTACTGCTGTCACAAGACAAAGAAACAGACAGCTGGGATATAAAGCAAACAATACACGAATATTAGGCAGCCGCAATCGAGAGCAGAGACTTCGTAGCATTGGTTTTTGTTGATGTTCTGAACAGTTTCGTTGGTGTTCCCTCAGCATGCGATAACAATATCGTAGAGGACACATTGGTACATACATACCTACACGCTTTACTGCACGCACTTTTTGTCAAGGATACACCGTTCGGCCACAAAAGGTAAGTCGTACTTAGATAGTAGAGATATCAAGTCTCTGTTGTTTTTTGCTTTTTCCAAAAGAATCACTGGAATGTAGACTTCGATATATCTTTCACTACCAAGGCTGACAAGTGTATACTATAGTTCTCTTCTTTTTTTCTGGAAAAGGGCAAACGCTGTGCTGGAATCCTCCCGAGATTCCCTAAACCAGCTGTTCCCTGATTTCACCGCCTACAAACGTGCTTCCAGTCGCACGTACGATTTGTTCGTTGTCGAGGTTAAGCGACCAACCTCCAGTAAATCGGATTTTATAAAAATGGGTATCATGCTTCGCGGCATGATTAACAAGCTAGTTGAACTCAGTGTGCCCAACCCGACAGTAGGTGGATTGATCGTGAAAGGTAGCACTTTAAATGTATTTATCTAGTGTGGATTTGGTCTCCGCGTCAATTTATTAACGATAGTTCTGTACCATAGGTTTCAAGTGTACAACGTACCGATTAGACCTCAAAGCAAAGCATGTGTACAGAATGGTCGAATTGCAAGAATTCCTTCTGCCACAAGAAAGCTATCAAGTAGGCTGCTTGCCGACTTATATCCAAGCGTTGGGGCAAGTTCAAGTAAAACAAAGATCCTGATCCATGTTCGCTATACACTGTATACCGCTCCAGCTAATATTATTAATTTAACCAATTCATAGGAGATCCTGGCGCAAACAGCCAAGAACATCAATGATTGCGACCAACTCCTCAAAAACAGAAAAGTTCTTAAAAATCGCACGCCCATTGATTGGATTGTAAAAACACAAGCTTCTTCCACGAAAGAAAAAAAGAACACAAAAAGCAAGGGCAAAGAACCAGCAAGAAGCACATCGTCTTTGGGACAAAAAAGAAAGCGATAATTATTGACCATCAAACACTTATACCCCCATCCTTTCTCCTATAATCAAAGCAATTCTTCATTTTTATTACATCGTTTTAAATCAATGTTTGTATTCTCTCCTTTCTGCCGCTGCAGTTGCAGTTGCTGTTGTATCAGTTCCACTTGTTCCATTCTTCGTTGTCCAACGAGCCATTCACTTAAAGACAATGCCTTGTGTCTCTGCTATTCAAAGAGATGAATATTGTTTACAATTATTATACTATATATTAATGTATGAAAAGAAATTATTAAGTGAAAATAATACCAATAAATTAAAAAATGTGGATATAATATTTGATAGAATAAAGAGTATTTTTATTGATCTTGGATTTTCGTTTAATTTTCATTATAATACATAATAACTGTTTTTAACATTTCAAACAAATTACAGTATGATGATATCTTTTTTTAAAAGCATAATCTAAAAAATACAACGTATATAGCTCAGAATCTTTTTTTATATTGGGCATATGTTTTCTTAAATGCATCCAAAAACCTTCCATACTGTTAGTATGTATTGTTGAATCATTTGGATCCACAAAATATTTCGAATGATCAACTGCTTTGTAAATATATCCCATCTTGTTTAAGCTTGTATAAGATCGTTAACCATCAGTGATTATAGTTGTTCCTTGATAAACTTGATCCTTGATTATTGGTAGTAATGTTGACATTTTTCGATTTTGAACAGGCACCAAAAAGAACAGATTTGAATTTCTTTGATAACCACCTAATATCTACATATGTTTTCTATATCGTTTATGCTTTGCAGTAGTAATTTTTGTTTTGCCAAAACAGCATTCGTCGATTTCAACAATTTCATCTTGTCCACCAATTACATTTTTCCATAACTCTTAATTGTTAAGGATCCATGTTTTTATCGCAAAGTGTATTTTTGAATATAATCGTGTAACTGTTTCATCATCGATTCCTATTTGTAGAGACACTTTTATAGGAGAAGGATCTATATAAAAAACAAATTAATATTATATATGTTATATTATAAAAGATACATACCAATCATCTATTGACGTAATAGTTCTACTATTTGTATTGGTCGTAGATTTGTTTTTTCAAATAATGTTTCGGCAAATACACCTTTTCTAATATTATCTAGATAACAATAAAATCAATATCTTTGATAATATTTTCCAATGGATAATGGTTCTTCACATTTTTTACAAATAAAAGGTTTTATAAGTCCTTGCTTTTGTAAATAGATTATAGCTTGTTCATCGTCGTAAAGTGTTTGAAATAGTGTTTCATTTGATTTAAACATTTTGATAAAGAAAAGAAAAAAGTGTTTTATGAAAAATAAAAAAAAAAATTTATATATATAACTTTATATATTTTGTGTAACTTACCAAAGAACGCTTGTAACCAGGATTCCACGACTTCTTTCAATAAGTTAGTTGCAAATTCACGAGCTGAAGCCTTGAACTGGAATTGTGAAAAGAATTTAACAGGCTTAAAGCCAGAGGGATCCAGACAAGCAATCCTCACAAATTCGACGTGGCTTTGATTCCTAGTTGTTTTTTTTTAAAATAAATTTAAGATGGTATCAATCGTGTAATATAGTAGTTTCTGTTAAATAGTGAATAATAAATTTACATAGTTTGGAAGTGAAATGAATGAAAAGAGGAAAGCTAGTGACAAAGAATTCACTTGAATCTTTCTCTTTTTGCCGCATACCATTTTCTGGCAGGTCTATCTTCACACCCCCTCATGCACACCCCCAGCCACACCTAGGCAGGTTTTCCGTTACACACCCCACTGACGTTTCTTTCGTGCACACCCACTCACACCCTTTTGGCCGAAGAGAAATGGTAGAATGCATAAAGAAAACTGATGCAGGATTCATCTATTAACATAAGTTTAAGGTGGTAGCAAAAAAAAAATTAAAAAGAGAAAGTGGAAGGGAAGTAAGAAAGGTACGAGAAATAAGAGGCTCAAGTGTTAAGTAGCTGACTAATTATTTCTGTTACAGGTAATTAAGTCTCCGCCCTCAAAATCAGATGCGTGAATGGGATGCACTTCTTCGTCATTGGGAATTGTGAAATTGGGAAACGGTCGAATAGACCGTTCAAAAGAATCTTTAAAAAGGAGATACCGAGGATCATCGCGAATGCTTTTGTATGGTCCACGACCCTCAGGGAATATTACAAAACACTGGATAGCTGCGTCTTTGTTGGTCATAACGAGTATGAAGTGGTTTCCAATAAGCTGCAGGACGATCGGGTGGGTGCGCTTGGCATGTGCTGGGTTGGTTGTTAAAGTGAAGAAAATGTGCGATTGTGCGCCATATATAACGATTGGCGTTTCGAACGTATCAGCGGCAATTCGACTGCATTCAGGTGAGACGAATTATTCACTAGAATAAAGATCGAGTACTTTAAGTGAAAGGCCCTTGTCATAGTATTGGTAAAGCGTATTGGCGTTGGAGAGGTACTGATCGAGCATCTTGGTCTTGACATCGACATATCGCTCCTCTGTCTTATGCAGATCAACAGCTAAAGCTCGAAAACCACAGTTACCGTCTGGTATGGGATTATGCACCATTTCAACAGCTGATGGAGGAATCCATTTGCAACCAAAGTTGAGATTAGGTACAAAGCGAATTTTTGGAGGAGGAGGGATAGTGAATGTCATATTGTTTGAGGATGTGGTAGTTGGTATGGTGTCGTTTGCCTCATTTGTTGTTGGCTCCATATTTCCATTCCTATAGATTGTGAAAATTAAAATAAAGTGGTGGCTACACATCTTCATGCATAAAACTTTATTATATTGCTGCAGCATCACGACCAATGCCGGTGTTTGCTTTCTTTCGGCTTTGAGAGTCTTGATGCTCTAAAGCGATCAGCTCACGCTTGTTGCTGCTGCTTGGCGCTTTTTGGGTGCTTTTGGGGATTGATTTTGGCTGCTGAAGCTGCTCAGCATCGATGAACATTTCATCATTGATGGATCGTAGGTGCGTGAGGAGAGTTGCACGTTGTTGGTTATCTGGAAAGCGGTGCAAAAGATTGTTGAGGCGTGTGAGCTCTGCTTCGATTTGTGATTCCAGGCTTGGGGCTGTAAATGGACCAGTCATCAACAAAATGTTGCTATTCCTATTGCTTGTTGTGTTTGGTTCTCCTAATAAATACAAGAATCAGCTACATGGCAAGTAAAAACAGCTTTTCCATGACAGCCCATGACTACCTTGAGGTGCCGTTTTCTCAGGATAAAGGTGCCAACGTCTGGGAATTAAGCTTAAGGGGATTTCACCCTGTGATGGAAGCATATAGCAGCAAGGAATATCATAATGATACTTGATTGCACATCGGCAGTAATCAGTCTTTAATGGATTATTGACTGTTAGCTCGTCACGGATAGCATAGAAAGCGAACTTGGAAATCTTACGTTCCAAAGCTGCCAAACGCTGTTTTTGCTGTGGTGGGATATGCGAGTTTCCGCCAAAACTTTCCTTGTCAATCTGTCGCTTCCAATTCAAATTCTAATATAAAAAAGAAAGCATGTAAGAGCCTCGACACTAACGAGTCAATATAATTACTATAAGGGATAAACCTTCAATCGATAAAACTCGTCAATCTGCGTAAAGGCAGTTCGGAGATTGCCACTTGAGGACATGATTGCCTTTTTCATGTTGGCATGCGTCCCTTCGACTCTGTTTGTGCTGTCGTTTCCGAAATGCTTTACATGGGTGAGGTAATTGCCTACCCACTTGTTTTATGAAGCAAGCTTTCTGTATAACGAAAAACATGTTAAAGTCCAAGTAGCATGTGGTCAAAAAATCCGTGCTTATTCAATCTTACACACCTTTGCAAATAATCCATGACAATGTCGGGTCTTTTTGCCTTTTGTGCAGCCTCCTCATGCATCTTCATTGCCTTTTCTTCGAGCTTATCGTTCGAAATTGTGGGTCGCATATCGTCAAACTTGCCTTGATATTCACTAGCTATTAAAAATTAATAGCTTTTTCGAGTTCCTCGTGATGGTCCTTGACATCAAAAAACTTGCGTAGGTTGACCCTGAAGTTACGTCGTATATGGATCTTGCATAGAATCTTTTTTGCCGCTGGAAAAACGCGGTCGAGTGCACTGGTCAAAGCTGATTCGCTGTCTGTTACAAATACACCAGGGGATGAGAACTGATCAAGTGGCCAAACGACAGTTTGAAGCTTGCAAATCACCCAATCGTAGCGTAGCTGTCATTGTTTTCCTCTGATACCCAGCAACCAGCAATGCAGAAAGTCATCAATTGGGGATATCCAAAATTACCAGTTCCAACAATGTTGATAAATGACAACTGGTACTTGTTTGTCTTGTAAGTGGCGTCCAAGGTAACAACTTCCGGGAATTGGCGAGCGAGTGCGATTACCGATCTGTGTGCAAAGAGAGACTGCAAAAAGCGTTTGTCACCTTCTTGTGTTGCTTTCCATTGGGTCGTACTCGTTTTCTTGAAGCTTTTTGATCAGCTGGAACATTGCATGTCTGGGTCGTTGTGGAATATGCGCTGACGAAGATTGGTGATGTCCTTAGGATGAGCAATCATGTTCCTGCTGGCAAGATACGACAATACAGCTTTGTTGGTTGAATGCGCTTGTACCATCTTCATAATGACCTCCTCATCGTGATCGAGTCGATGGAGCATTGGGTACGAAGAAAGCTCGTTTGCCATCTCATGGTTGTGGCCGCCTTCATAGAGAGAGACTATGTGCCATTGGTTGCTGGCCTGGTTCAAAGGACGAATGATCATTTCGAATTTGCAACCAAACCGCTGGGGTCCCTTTGACGAGTGTCGATCTTTTTATCCTTGGATGACGCAATGGCCTCGCCCTTGTCATCTACAATAACCATTTGTCTTGTCGTGGTCTTCTGCTCTTCACATACGCCCTTGTTGACCGACTCACCATAATGCTTGCGGGCAATCTGGAGCTTCCTCTTACTTCCCATCTTATTACTTCTAATAGTACGCAACGAGACACCATTCTTTTTGCCCCATGCATAGCAAGCCGTCTTTGCGGCATCAAATCCATCCCATACGGTGTTAAGTTCTTCTGGAATTGAGTTCATTGTTTTTGACATTGCGTTTAAATGAGCAGTATTGAGGTAGGTAGAAGATTTAATATATAAAAGCGCGTTTGTATCACTTCAAGTGTTCCTGGATTTTTACATAATATAACTGCCCGTCGTATGTATAACCATATACAATGATGAAAGGTAAAGACGTGTTTATTTATAATCTATTTAAGCATATACGTTATGCTGTTTGATTTCTTCATTGCAAGTTCGCATAGCTTTAGGAATAAACTGCATTACTGTAACTTTATAAAGGATGTGCATGACAAAAGTATTTTGCTCAACAGCGTGTGAGGGGATGTGCACGAAAGAAAAGTCAGCGGGGTGTGTAACGGAAATTCTGCCCTGTTCAGGAGGCAAACAGAAAGCAACGAAACCCCCCAAAAGAATATAGCCTCCACAACAGCTTCTGGATCGAGCCGCCATCGCCGTTTTTCACTTTACATACAAGTCCAGCAGATCCCAAGAAGGTCTATTTACCTTGCATTTTTCTCTGGCTTCCACACATTTGATATCAAAGCCATTGATATGCACCTGTGAAGCTAAGGCCGAAATGTAGTCCAAAGGATTTAACAAGGATCCTTATGCTCGACGCGTTGTATATATTAATGGGTAATAGTACAACATTCATATTGCTAAGAAAAAGCACTAAATTTATAGAAGATGCTTCTATTTAATGTCTCTGAGATACCGCTGCAGCAACAAGGCTTGCAATGTTACCATGAACGCGCACGACGATCACATACTGTACTTCGTCAACTGCCCGAGCACTTGCAAGCAGAGTTTCTTGCTTATCTTACCCATCGTAGTGCGGTGTCAAAACTGGTGGGTGATCTACTTCGTACTGCCGTACAAAGTGGAATGGGCATCAACGGAGTTCAAGCAGCTCTTTGAGAGTTCCACACGCTACGCTACGCCAAGCTGCATCGTCAAAGTAGCCAAAACAACACGACATGCTCGACAGCAGGACCCAAACTTTCACTACATACGTTTCCCTCCCTTCGATGATCCTAATGGATATGCGGGTTACGTACCGTCATCTGGATATTTAAGCACTGTCTACATCTCTCTACCGGATTAGCTAATTAGCAGTCATGAAGCAGCGCCTAGCGAAAGCACCAACGAAATCAACTACCTTCAGCTACCAAGGGATGTGTCGGTACACCTTTCGATGATTATTTGCAAATCTCTCAGGCAATACAGTCCATCCAAAACAGTCGGAACGATCCGGCAAAACCTACTGTAGTAGGATTCGATTGTGAGTGGAATTTCAACCTAATTAAACGTACTACTGGAAAAGTCTCTTTAGTGCTGGTGACCTGTGCAGATGCGGTGTGGGTTTTTCGGATCAACGTATCCGAGCCGTTTCCGCCTTCGTTGGCATCCTTGATCGACGACCTTTGATACTGAAGGTTGGCCGTAATGTAAAAGGTGATCTCAAGAAACTATACTGCGACTACAACATTCCCTAGAAAGAGGCTGTAGAACTTGGATCCTTTTGCAGACGTCGTGGTGCTATTGAGCGTGGTAGTTTGGTACTGTCAGATATTTGTATTGCTGTCTTTGGGGGTTCCTTGCGCAAAGACAACGATGTGCGTTTGAGCGATTGGCAAGGCATGGGAAAGCCTCAAAACCCACTACAACGTGTGGAAAGCAGCAAAGACAGCCAGCGATACTGAAAAGCAAAACAGCACAGTAGTCGACACGATGACTGAAATTCTCCAATCACCAAGTCGAACGTTGATGACCCACCACCAGCTATCTTGACCAATGCACCAGCACCAGCAGAAGTAACCGTATCTGATATCAACGCGTTTTTGTTGCCCCCACCAATACTCCTTCTATATGAGCAATCTATAGCAGCTGACAATCAAGCTCAACAAGCCTCGCTTTCTAATAATACAACAGCTACTACTGTTATCGTCACCAGTGATACACACGAACGCGTATCGTTCCATCTTCCTCCTCCACAACAACAAACATATAATACAAATACTACACAGACACTCAACAGTATACGGCATCCTGCTATACTCCTCGGCAACGTGTTCGTCCGCGAAGGCAACAAGTAAGCTCGAGACGGTGGCAGTAGCCCTATCTACAAATACGCCAAATCGCCAGTGCGCAATGCTCTACCGTCTGCTTCACCTGATAGTTCTTATTTTGTGTGGATTACCCAAAGGAAGAACAAGAAAACCGCAAGTAGATTATATACCCCTCTAGGCTCTCAATATATATAATTAGCTACCGGTTTTCTTTATCTTATAATTCAAAAAGCAATTGAATCGTTATTATCTGTTCACTTACCACATCGGTCCATAGCCTTTCCTTAATCTCTCTCACTCTCACTCTATCTCTTTACAACAAAGTTTTACAAGTTCACATGGAGAATCGGCGCTCACTATATATACTTCCCAATCATTCAGCTAAGCCCAGACATGTCCATAGCGCCCAGACAGACATGCCCACAGCGCCAGAAAAAATGCGACATTTGATTTCTAAGCAGAGCGACATCAATTTTGAAACATCCGACCATAAGTATGCGACATTAATTTTCATAAGTATGCGACATTAATTTTTACAGAGTGCGACATTGGAAACCCTGTATCTATAGCTGTATCTATAGCTTAACACCTTGTACGTTGCTTTCCGCTGCTCTGCAGATAAAATAAATTAAAGAAAAGAGAGTGCATATATTTCAACTCGCCTTTCTGTTCTCTTTTTCTTTCATCGCGTTGCGACACACCTCCATCTCTTTCTCTCTCTCTTTTCCTTTTTCGATCCCTACCGCTCTTTATTACTCTTTTTTTTTTCTTTTGTTTAATTCTGCTTCATTAATCTTTCAAACTGGATCAACACACGAGCAAGGAACAAGGTACGCAATTTTCGACACTTTTTTTTTTCAACTCACAAACACGCACTCAAGATGATTTTGACCATTTGTTTGTTACAACTTAACACTTACAATATTGCTCACTCTTCATGCGTTCTTTTCTTTTCGGCCCGTCTTGGAACCCTATTTTCCAACTTGAAACTGTATAAATGATGGAACTTGTAGCTTATCATAGCGACCCGAGATTCCGAAAGTATGTGCAGCTGATTGAGAAAAATCTGAATTCGTTCGATGCTGTCAATGAGTGGGCAGATATCATTTCGTTTCTTGGTCGATTGCTCAAGGTAAACTATTTCTACTCGCACAAACCGTCGTGTTAGTGGGGCGTCAATAGGAAGACGTTGTTTGAAGAAGATATACTCTTGGCGCTCTTTTTTTTTTTTGCTTGCTTAACTCTAAAAGTATATTACATTAGTCTTTTCAAGCTTATCCACAGTTTCCAGTGATTCCACAAAAACATACCGTAGCCAAACGCTTAGCACAATGTTTGAATCCGGGATTCCCTGCAGGTGTTCATCAAAAGACGCTGGATGTGTACGCCTACATCTTGGAAACAATTGGAGTAAGTTGCCCTTGATGTCATTGACAACAGCTTCTTGATGATTTCAGGGGAAAGTGGAAAGGGATAATAAATGTTTATACTTTTATAGACGGATCAATTGGCAGATGACTTGGCTTTGTGGTCTCTCGGGTTATTCCCTTTTGTACAATACGCTGCGATGCATGTCAAGGTAATGAAATATAAATACATAGTGTGCTCAAGTTATATTTAATCCAGCATGCTATTAATTATCATCATTATTATTATAGCCGCAATTATTGGATATCTTTGAAAAGTATTATTTTCCCTTGAAATCACGTTTACGAGCAGCTATGCGTGGATTTATAATTGCATTATTACCGGCATTGGATGAGGAAGGAAGTGAATTTTTTGACAAGGTGAGTTTATAATTTTCTTATGTGTGGATTTTGAAAATGTTTGAAGTAAAGGGGAAATGTTGACATTTTGTCTTTTTGATTTTCTTTTTCTTTTTGGAGGTCGTAGTGCTGATGGATCATTTGTCGAATACGGTCGATCTTCCATTCTTTTACAGTTGCATGTGGCATGTTATGATTGGTAATCCCGGTTTGCGGCCACCTGCGCTCAATTACTTGTTACGACGATTACCCAAGATAACAAATGCAGAAGGTTAGTATCATTAGGTTTTATTGGATTGAACGAGAGATACGTTTTGGAATGGAGCTAGGTAAGAGATTAATGATAAATATGATAGAGGTTGCGGTTGTTTTGGGAGGTGGCGAATGTATCAGTTACATGGTCCGTGCATTTGCTGCTACGCTAGGTGATGCGCAATTACTTGTGCAACGTGGCATGCTAGAATTACTCGTACAGAATTTCGCATTGAAGCACCGGTCAGTATAATACACTTTTTACAGTTATCATCGAGAAAAAAGGACAGGGAGCTGTTTGCTAACAATTTAAACAAAAAAAAACAGAACAATACCACATGACGATCTTGTTGTACTTACGCGTTCGGCCCTATCAATTGTATTGCGCAAAGACATGTCCTTAAATCGTCGATTATATGCTTGGCTATTGGGAGACGAGGGTACTTCACAAGCACAAATGAAATATTTCAATGCGTTCGGTGAAAAGGCAGCTACGCAAGCAGTACGAGGATTATTTTTCGCCACGACCAATAATAGTGCACTTTCATCATCGTCCTTACCACTACCATTATCGTCATCATCAGCATCCGCTGCAGTATCAACATCAAAGCAACAACACCATCAGCAATTGCAGCATAGCGAAGCGTATATTGTGGAAGCACAACGACCTTACAAGATCCTCATTTCATTGTTGGACAAGTGGGAGATTGGACAACCGATTGTGCAAGGCATCTTTACGGATTCACTCGTCAGTCTGCAAACGCAAGTGCGTAAAGTTGAGTCAAGTGCAGAGGTAATAAGAAATCTTCTTTGGACAGGTTGTTGAGAGGTATATCCATTTGTGTGGTGAACATAACAACATTTGGATTGTAGATTGTACAAACAGCGAATATGTGGATGGAAATGATGGAGCCATATTTGATTTGGATGAAACTTTTTGCACTGTTTGATGTAAACTTTCCCGACAAATCTGGCGTGTTCAGGGCATCCAATTTGGAAACGAATCTTAAAAATCTTCAATTGATGGAGTTTACCTTGAAATCGTACAAGTTTACGGATGAAGAGATTCGACAAATGCATTTGCCACTTGTTTTATCGGCGATGACACAGAAATTACAGGTAATATATATATTTGTGTAAAAGGGCAGTGTCATATTTTACGAATGGATAGATGGATTATTAATTAATGATAATTTATGACTTCAATATGTTATTAGGAATCGATACGACATCCATCGTTTATTGACATGCTTCCATTGGTCGACAAATGCATGCAATTGATTCATACTATTTTGGACATGATTCCAGAAAGCGCGTTTTGGGATCGTCGATCATCGAAAATGCCAGAAGCAGGAGGAGGAGGAGGAGGAGGAGGAGAAAACACATCGGCAACATCAGCAAATCGAACCAAAGAGTTTCACAATGGCATGGATGTGCTTGAATATACACACGAATTTTATGGCATACGCACAATTACCTCCGACCCATCAAAACCAAACGGTCATAACAGCAACAATAGCAACAACAATAGTGATAACATCAACAGTCAGAGTGACCGTAGTACTGCAGTTGTCATCAAAGAGGCAGAAGACGAAGGCGATCTTTCAATATCGACGGCAACAACAACAACAACAACCCACAGTTATTCAGCAGAGAGTAACGGTGTCAATGGTTTGACAACACATATCCTTGCAACGCGTCCACAATACGGTCCCATTCGAGGTTCGACATTGGTAAAAGAAGTCATGCATCAACTGACGCAGTTTGTGTGTGGTATTGTCACCAGTTATATCATTCCACCCGAGAAAGAAGAAAGTATTGGCGTGGATGTCGGTATGGATGGCAAACGACTCCGTAGCATTGATGCACAGCTGGAAAAGGTGTTGCATTCAGTATGCTCTGCGCTTGTCGTGATAGCCAAACGTGCAGACGAACGGTTTGTTTGGGACGAGAACGAAAAATCACAGCTCACACATACGTTACTCGAGTGTTGTGAGAATGGACGAGAATTTGGCGTGGTGGATACTGGTTTATCGACGTTGACGCAACTAATGAAGAAACGACATCGGTTTGTAAAAGATGATGCGCTCAAAAAGAGGACAGTAGCAAAACGAATCATGGACAATGTAAGTTGTGTTTTTTTTTGTACCCTCCTTTTAAAAAAAGAGAAAGATGAGAAGAATACTGTCCCCCTTCAAAGTGTAACTAAAGTTCCAAGATTAGTTGTGGGGATTCTTGGCACCAGCAGCACCCTTATTACATATGCGCACTGTACAGTTGATATGGCTGTTGACAAAGGCGACCCTACCACATCAAATCGAAACTGTCATTTCAAGTTACTTGATTACACACCATGACGACAATAACAACAACAATGAACGATTATTGAACTATGAAAAGTTTGGTATTCTTTGGGAGTTCTCGGAAGACGTCTTGGAAACCGCCACGACATTTGCACGACCCATGTTTCTGATTTTGGACTTGATACAAGAAGGAGCATCACCTGTGGACCGTCGTGTGGGCGAAACCTGGCTACGATGTCATTTACGTAGCTATGTACGCGTGTTGGAGCCGTTTGTATTGACCATGCTAAGCAAGAACATTATTCGTCGACCTACTGAAAAAAAGATCCCACATGAGCATCAAGTGCTCTATAATAATAACACCAATAACGATAATGCGGAACAAGTGGATGCGATTGTGTCGTATTATTTATACATGCGGCCCTTTGACACGGCGACCGTCGAATACATGTTCAAGCATCTGATTTCATTGGTGAACTTTGGGTCGTTGGGGTTTCTCAAGACATGCAAGAATCATCGAGTGGTGGCCGGTGCTGGAGGAGCAATGCCTGAGTTGATTGAATCTTCTTTGGGTATTAATATTCAAGGTTAACATTGTAATATAAAGGGACGACAAAGGAAAAGCGGACTAATGAAACGTGATACTATTAGCAGAAGACACCGGACTATCGTTCCTAGAACTACTGGTTCAGATTTCACTAAGGTAAGCTTTTTTAAGGTTGTCACCAGTAAGAAACTTTATAACGTTTAAATTGAAAAAGCGACTAAAAAGTTTGATGATGGATCATGATGATGATGATGATGATGATGTTTTTTAAGGTATCTGGAGACCGAGCCATGTGACAAGTACAAGTCAAGCATGCTCAAGTCAGTGCGCAGTATCCAACTGCATGCAGCGGAGCTACTTTACCAGACGATATCGAAATTGGACCATGTTGATATGAAGCTGACACGACTGATTCAAGAAAGCGTGCTACGCAAACTATTATTTTGCATATCGACCAGCGATTTGGAACTGCAGCAAAAGCTACTACACTTGTTGCATGCAACGATGGCCATCATTGCAGCAGCAGCAGCAGCAGCAGCAGCAGCATTCAACAAAACAGCAACAAACTCACCTGACCATCGTTCTTCGTCCTATCGTCGGAAAACCTCTGTGGATAGTACTACGACGACGATAACGCAACAGAATGAAGCTGCACTCTTGGCACAATATGCAAGCGACGCCGTGCCTCGTGCTGCTGCATCATCATCATCTTCTTTATCATCGCATCATCAGCATCATCATCCACCCGCATCTATCGCCCAAGCCAATGCCATTGAAGCCATCGATGTAGCCACTTGTACATCCGCTTTGTTTGTGAAATGTACGACGGATGCGTTCATGCTGACAAGCAATCGACCCATTCTACAACACTGGATGGATTTTGTGCTTGCTTCGTTACCGCATATGCGCGGTGGTTTCCGACAGATGGTGATTCCCATCCTGATGTGTGTCTGTGAACAAATCACCATGTGTCACACTGCTGTACGACTCTTGATGCATGGTGATATGGCGTCTCTATCAGCGTCGTCCTACGCCTCAGAATATACCAGCAAGAATAAAAACAACAACAAAAGACATCATCATGGCCCTTATCTACAAGAAACGAGCGCCGTCATTGGTGGACCTGAGCAGGATATTTTGGTGTTTTTGAACGGTATTGAAAAGATCTTGTTATTTTGTTTGATGGACCGTACACTCAACGATGACTGGCATCCAACAACAACAACAACAACAACAAACGATCAATCACCCTTGTTACTACCCATCCCTCGAGTCGCAGACAATTCCACACTCAAGGGATTCGCCCAACTCGTCCATTCTGACGAGTTACTGGTTCGTAACAGCAACAACAACAACAATACCACCAGAGCACGTGACATTATGCTGTATCATTTACCGATTGTCCTCCACATCTTACTCGATGTGTGGCGCGTCTTTCGCCAACCGCATTGGGATAAAGAAACATCTGCCGCACTTGGAGTTGCCAAGATGGATGCGGTACTACAAAGTTTTGCGTATGCTGCAGATCATGTCAAGGCCCGACTCGAAACCATCTTTGAACGTCTCTACAAGTATTGTCCGCTCGATTACATTGAAGGCTTCACTGAAATCTTTTTCATGGAAAACCCCATTGCTTTGGAATATGAAGCGTCACCGAATCATTTTGATTTGATGGCGATTGAAGTCTTGTCCCAGACACCGACGAGCTCGCCACATCATATCTTGTCGACTCTTTTGGATGGTATTCGTCAACGGACGCCCGGCATGCAGGTCCATCGCCGAAGACATATTCAACGTACTGGCAAATTGTAAGTAGTACAGTGTACATTTTTATTTTTTTTATTTTTTTGATACTAAAATAGACTATGTTTTAATAAAGAACGGACACATCGATATTACGGTTTGCGGAAATATATTCCAGCAATTTATTGAAAACGGATACCCTGGCTTATTTATGGCCATTGATGCACTCGTTTGCTAAAGACTATCTGTCACAGGCACAAGCATACAAAACCATCTTTCCGGGCCTGTTGCGGTTCTTGACCGTAGCTGTGGATGGACTGACACGAAATTCTCGTGCGAGTGGTTCAGCAACGCCTACATCAACAACAACAACCGGAGTGATGGAAGACCGTAAAGCACGACGTGATGCACAAGATCTATATCAACGATGTGTCGACTATTGTATATTGATTGCCGGACGATCATTTGACCAAGGATTATGGTTACGACGATCCACCAATGTATATGATGGTGGTGGTGGTGGTGGTGGATTAGGAGGGAGTGCTTTAGACATCACCACTGCAAGTAATCTCTCCACAACAGGATTAGACGATGGATCACCATCGACACCGACAGATACTTTATCTTTGTCAGACACCATGAGCGAGCATCATCATCATCATCATCACAACAACAACAACATTGTGCGCAACTTGTCCTCAAGCAATGTGTCAGAATTGGAAAAGAAGGCTAGTTGGAAATCGCGTGAGGATGTCATGATTGCTCAAGTCAATGGATATCTCGCAACCACCGTCATACCCAACTTGCCGCAATTGATTGGTGATCAAGACAGAATCAACTCGTTGCTTAATAACCTGGTGTATTATGTCATTGGGCCTGCTTTACGAACACGCGCAGTGTAAGTTATTCTCTTTTTCTCTCTGTCTCTCTCTCTCTCTCTCTCTGAGTGAGAAGAAAGTAATAGCGGTTTGGGGGGGGTTGGAGATAAAGATCAAATCTTTAATAACGGGTAATGATGACAGATTCAGCAAAATCGCAGTCATACTCGATCAGATTTGCGAAATGACACACTTGACATTCAGTTACAAGACCTGGCGCAAAGAAGTCTGGGAAGTGTTTCTAGACAATCGATTTTTCTACATGAGCGCGACGACGGCCAGAAAATGGCGACAGATCATCCAAACCGTGTTTTCGTTGGAAAAAGAGACGCGATTCACTGAATTGATGAGTCGAGTGACGACCTCGCCCACATCCAACACGGCGTTCTTTACGACCAGCAAAGATCAAGAAACATTGAACCGTGCATTGAACCTGCGACGCTTATCATATGTCATCTTTTGTGGCAACAATGACCAATATGTGCCGCAATTGCCAATCATTCAAGAAAAGCTCGTCGAACTGCTCAAATTGGATCACGGCGAAATGGTCCATGCAGAGATTTATCTTTGTTTGCGTATCATGTTGGTTCGGTTTTCTCAAAAGCATTTGTTGAACTTTTGGCCTGTGCTTATCACGGAATTGGTATGTGTGCGAGTCGCGTGTTGCTGATCAGCGAGTTTAGGTTCTGGGATTGTCTGTGTATGTGGACACAAAAAAAACAAAAAAACTGAAAGAGATGGACATGAAAGGTTACTAAAAAGAGTAAATTAGATGCGTCTCTTTAATGCATTCTTGTACAACAACGTGAACGATCGTCCCGAGGAAGCACAGATCGCACTAGCGGGATGCAAATTCTTGGACCTGCTCTGTGCACTCGAACTTGATGCTTTCCAAATGTAAAAAAAAAAATGTTTGTCTTCTCTGCTAAGCTATCATGCCCCATCAGCTAACAGTATTTCTCTCTCTCTCTAAACCAGATACGAATGGATCTTTATTCGAGACACAGTAGCCTCTTCGATTATTAACCAATCCCAAAACAACAAAGAGCAAGCAGGACCGACACCCATGATGGATAAGCTGAGTGAAAAGCTAGCAGAGACGAGTGACAGTGTCACTAGCCAGACACGAGCAGTCTTTGACGCGTTTCCCAACGACACCATGACGATGACGACGACGACGACAACAAGCGACTATCGACCTAATGCAATGACGCCTATTCCTTCGTTGGGACAATTGAAAAGACCCATGTTGACAATGCGGAGTATCAGCAGCATCCAACAATTGGCGTTTTTTGTCGAACATGTTTCGTTGTATGCATACCAATGTTCATTTACCCTAGCCCATCCGGATATGCCTTTCATAGAGAGTTTGTTGCAAACAGACTTGTTAGAAGGCGATATCGAAAGTGATTTTGCTTCTTCCTAGCTAGCCGTCCCCTCTAAAATATAAAAAATTAAAAACGAGTGTTGTCATGACATCACGATTACTGCGTTGTTCCCCCCCAAAAAAGAAATAGCTGACGGAGTTTTTCCCCCCTCTCCGCACCTTTAGAATTCATGCCTTTGTGCTGCTTGAAACGTGGGTGCATATTATTAACGCCCGATACGCTTTTTTTTTTTCTTTTATCTTAACCTGAAACGATTAAAAACATGCCGCCTGTGGTTGGAATCGCATGGGCCATTTACGGCATCGTTGTAGCGGTAAATATATATAAAAGAGAAACGTTTTCTCGCTTGAGAGCTGGCACTTGGGATAAAGGAGAGAAATGTGTGTTGTTTCGAGAGAAAAGAATGGAGCCCCATTCACACAAATACTATAATACTGTCAAAAGATAACCCCCATACATATATATACACACACACACACACACATGCCATGTCTACTCACATTATGTCTACACAAAAACAAAAAACAACCACACGGGGGGGGGGTAAAATGATGATAGGGCCTCTTTGTATTCAGTTCAGGCTTCACACGCTACTACCAACACAAACAAGAAAGCGAAGCATTCGCGACGGTAGTGACCGTGTTCGCATTGACGTTAATCCTGGCAACCTTGGCATTGACACCGATTGACATTTTCTTGGTGTCGTCGACCGTGGATGGCGAAACGGGCATGAAAAAGAAATGGGCGGATCCAGACACGATCTTTTGGATGACGACCACCGTACAAATCGTCTACTATGGCTGCTATGGGTTGATTGCCTTTTCCAGTTTCTTTTTGATTCCATTTGCCTATTTTTATTATGAAGAGGATGAAGGTGATGACGAGGCGTTGAGCCGGGCCCAGCAGAGGAGACAACGCGCGTGGGGTGCGCTCAAGTACACGAGTTTTTTCATTGTCATTTGTGCGCTCTTGCTCTTGTTTGGCCTGTTCGTCAAGCCTTCACAACGGCCGCCGAAATTGGATTTGGATTGGTTTGAGAAGCTGTTGACTGAGAGCAGTAAGTTTTTCCATGGGAGAGCGGCCTTGTAAAAAGGGGAAGAGTGACTAACATGAATGGGGTTTAGATGGGGAGAAATCCATTTCGTTCGTGGTCGCTTGCCTGATTCTGCTTGGCATGCTTGTCTTTATTGGCTATACGGTAAAAAAAAGAAGCTTTTTTTTTTTACTACATGGGGGCTTGTGTGTGGGTTTGTATAGGGTTGGACACTGACCCCACAAAAATAAAGGCACCAGGATTGTCATTACTGCCAATGAACATGATCAAAGGACGACGTCGGTTAGAAGCAGAAAACCAGGATGTGGACAACCGGCTGGCTGTGAACCGTGAGCGACAGCGTGAACTGCAAGCACGCTACACAGGTACAAGTAAGGCGATCAGTGCACGCGATCAACGCGAGCTTGATAACTTGGATGATGAGGAAAGGTATATATATATATATATATATACTCTCATTTGTGTGTCCTGCACACAAGAAAAGGTACTCAAGACCCCAGGGCGTGTGTTTCATTATTAGAATCTTGACGCGACGATTGCGAACCATCCAAGAAGATCAGTCGGGTCTATGGCAACGTCTCCTCAAGGTGATCAGACCCTTTGAGGTAACGTGTGTAAATTAATTACCTTTTTTTACTGGGGGGGAGAGTGTGGGGTGGGGGGAAACAAAGAAAAGTGATTGATTTGATTGATTGATTGATTGATGTGCGTAAAGTAGATTTTGATTGGTTTTTTGCTGTTGGCACTGACTTGGGTGGTCATAGCTTCTATTTTCTTGACCATGTGAGTTCATTCTTGTAAGAAACAAACGCGCTCTTTCTAAAAGACTCTCACTGATGATTGATGAAATGATATATACAGAGTTGACAAGCTCACGTATTCGGTATGTGGCAAGCAGTGCGGCTACATTATCAGCCATCCCGACCTGTTCAATCCAGTCAATGTCATCTTTGTCAAGCTGGCAAAGTATTTCCCACTGGACAATGTGTTTATGGTGCTGCTGATTGTGTACTTCTTCCTTGCCACCATGTCGGGCGTGATCACCTTGGGCGTCAGGTTCTTGTGGGTCGCGCTGTTCCGGATTCGTAAAGGAGCCACGATGCCTCAAGGGTTGCTTTTCTCAACGATTCTATTAACGCTCAGCTTGCTTGCATTGAACTATTCATTAACGGCTGTCGTGGCACCTGGATATGCACACTTTGGAAGTCAAGTCTATGTAAGTAGGTGATGGGGGTGGGGGGGGTGGGGGAGGAATTACACGGAGTTTGGAAATCGATGCGTGTATGTGTACGCAGATGAATAAAAAAAAAAAAAGCCGTCGTATATAATGCAAAACAAATGCAGTGCAATTACACAGAAGGAGGTCAGCGCGACTGTACGGACCATATGGACAAGATTGTGCCTTGCGATATCTATGCACCTACAGGTTAGTGATCTCTCGGCGAGGAGGAGGGGTTGATGGAACACTGGCTGATTGCCTTATAATTTCTTTGGTAGAAATTTGCACACCGACCATCACATCCACGTTGATTGATCGCATTGTGGTCAACACACCGTTCTTTGGGGCCATCTACTATTACTCGCAATGGGCCTTCTTGGTCGTGTTTGTGCTTGGGTTCTTGGTTGCCTTGTTCCGACGACCGCGCGACAATGTGGATATGGAATCTGCAGATGTGGATGCAGAGCAAGAGGATGAAGAGCAGCGCGGCCTTTTGGACGGTAGAAGAAGAACGACGACGACGACGATGGGTGCAAGTGCGAGCGGAACGAGCGGAAATGAAAGTAATCAAGGCCAGCAGCAGCAGCAGCAGCAGCAGCAGTATGTATGATTGGAGACCCACATGATTTTTTATTTTCTTATTACAACATAACTGTAATGCCATTGCATGCACCGTATATGCTTGTTTGCTGCAAGGCAAGCAGTCATCATCATCTTATTATTATTATTATATGGTCTGGGCCGTGCTTGCGTCTTATTTCTGAGAGAATATGCAAGCCGTTGCCCATTTTGGGATGATGAACCGTAAATAACTTTTTGTTTTCGTTGAATAAAGAAAAAAATTGCAGTGTTTTTTTTGTTTGTTCACTTGTGGGCCCTCTATCCTTCCCCATTATTAATGAACAAAGAAAAAGGCGTAAAAGCACAAGTGTGGGCGACACAGACTTGGGACTGTGACTGGTGCAACACACACACACACACACATACACACACACCATCAGACACCCAGCAGCATGGGAATGAACGACATGAAGAAAAAGTGAGTTGATGGGTGATACAGAAAAATGCTGATCGTCATTTCTTTCAAGAAGGTGTGTGTGTGTGTGTGTGCGTAACAAGCGTGTGCGACGCATGCTAATGACCAAACTTGGCAAGACGCATGGACTTGTACTTGCATTTGAATAAGTGCATGAGTAGCAGCAGCAAGCAAGCAAGCAGCAGAAGCAGCAAGTCTTAATTAAGTTGGAATTGCTACACACTCTAAAGCAAACTAACAAAGTAGGCAGTCGGCCCGGTTCGCTTTGCTACTGCTGCTCCTGCTGCTTGCTCCTGCTGCCTGCTCCTGCTGCCTGCTCCTGCTCCTGCTCCTGCTGCTTGCAACTTGCATATAAATAATTCTACTCTTGTCTTTCTTTGTTTCTTTCCTTCTTTCTTTCACTCCTCATCACTTTCTCTCTTTTACTTACTCTTCTTACTCTCAACTCTCCAACCAAGCACTACTAATCCACCCCATGGACCACCTCAGTTTTCAACACCAGTTCCATTCGCTGACAGAATACCTAAAACAATCGCCCGACCTGTTGTCATCGCCCGAACAAGACCAGTGGAAGAAGCGACGACGAAGCATGAGCTCGACCACAAGCTCCAGTGATTCCAACAACGACCCTTTCGACGCGTCCTTTTCTACGCCTGCCGCCTGTGCCTCGCCACTCCTGCTGCCTCCGCAACACCAGGCCCACCACCACCACCTCCATCAACATGCGAGCACAACCTGTACTGTTCCTGCGATGAATGTGATGCAGCCTCCTCCTCCGTTGATGATGATGGACCAACTCTTTTCGTACCCGGGTTTCTTTACCACGCCTAATGCTTCGGGTGACAACTGCTATGATCATCAAGTTGCTGTTGCTGCTGCTGCTGCTGCTGCAATGTGGGCACCCACACCTCCCATGGACACCCTCAACACGCCTTGCTCTTCCCGGTCGCCCACACCGCCCCATCATCAGCAGCAGTACCCATACCAGTACCAGTACCAATACCAACAACCTTCTTCACTCTTCTCTGCTGCTCCTGCACAAACAGCAACAACAACAACATCTCCATCCATGTCTCCATCATCATTACACGAACAAGAACCGTCGGTGGTGGCAGAACCAAAGCCAAAGCCAACAACCCAGAAAAAGACACAAAAGAAAAAGGAAAAGCGCATGTCAGGCCGGCGGGTGATGAATTTATCAACCGATGAAGCTGCAGCCGAACGACGACTGTACCGGTGTAACGAGTCGGGATGCGGCAAACTCTTTAAGCGTTCCGAACATGTCAAACGCCATTATCGATCCATTCACACAAAGGAAAAACGTAAGTAACGATCCAAAAGGAGGGAGGGAGGACGGGGGGTTAATTTGGCATATAAAGAAAACTGTAAGTTGACATGCTTTTATCAATAGCATACGAATGCCCTTACTCTGAATGCAAGAAACGGTTTTCTCGCTCGGATAACTTGAACCAACATATTCGAATCCATCGTCAGTCATCATCATCATCATCATCACCTACTACTACTACTACTACAACTTCCAAGGAACTATCAAACAAGCGCAGGCGCTTGGATTAAAAAAACAAACACGCAATTCACCTTTTACTTAGTATACACACACACACGCACTTTTTTTTTCATCTTACGACCACACACACTATGTTTTTTTCATTCTTTACAACATACCCCACACACACACACACCATGGACACTCGTTTTTTTCATTTTTCATTTTTCTTTTGCTTTTTAATAATTACGGTTTTTCAATTTTTTTTTTTTTACTTGGTGCTTTATGTTCTTGGGCTTAATAAAACCGAAAGAAAAACTTGTCATCATTTTGCATTTAAAAATACAATTCCAGATTTGTTTTTTTTGGGAGGGCTTATTTTGACACTGGCAACGTTTTTTTCTTCCCAGATACGGCAGGTTTGTGTGGGGGTGAAAAATTCATTGTGCTGATTTACACACACACTGGATACCCTTTTTGTTAGCCTGGGAACATGATTCGCTGATATAGCATCATCACCACCCAAACCATCATGCTTTTTTTTTTAAAAAAAATGGGGGTTGATAAAGTAAGTTTGTAGGCTATAGAGCCAAAAATTAAAAAAAAAAAAAAAAGGCCGTCAAATACTGTATCTAGAACCCTTCAGGTCAAAGCAAGTATTGTAAATGCTGGTCAAACAAGTAACATCATTCTACATCACCCACGGAAACGCTTTTGCTTGAGAGCAATCTGGAAACTCCGGTCATAGTTAGTAGTTGAGCCTGGCCGAGGGTGGGGGTGGTCGGTGCATTTGATTTGCGGACAAGTATATCCAAAGTGTGTGTGCCGTGCCTGGACCACCTTTTTTTGAACCCTCGCTAATCCCGCTTCCGGCCGGACCTTCCCGCCCATCCATTTTTTTTCCTAAAATGCTAAACCGGACGACGACCCCATGGATCCGTTAGTACGTTTAATATCATGATGCTGATATCTAATTTTGTTTCCTCCCCCCCCCCACTTTTTTTTGTTCCCGGAATTGTACATCCGATCTCGATTCTAATAGCTATTAACGCACGTCCATGATATGTGCCTTCCACTTTGAATGCTTCCCGATAAAAAATTCCTACAATGTCACTTTTGACACATTTTTTTTCTTTCCTGGTCAAAGTGACAGTCGTTTTTTGAAAGGTCAACCACTACTCGCTCTACCAGCCAGTATAGTTTCTCTTAAATGTATATGTGTTTGTATTCTTCCATATGTATTACATAGTAACTCATATCACGACGAAGCGGTAAAAAAAAAAAAGGTAGAGGGCGCACAGGGCAACAAAGAATGGGCTCATTTATTGTTGTTCTTCTTGGCGCAATTACAGCAGCAGCAGGGACATGTTCTTCACCTACGACCGGAACCCCTGTCGCCGACCTCCGGACGAAAGCGGACTATGGCCAATCTTTTTATTTTTTACTTTATTTGTTGGCTATACCGCTCTAACTGTATTGGTATACGGCGGAAGATATGTACTATGTAGGGTGATGATGACGAGATTTCCGGTCATGCATGAGCGGGGGGGGGTGGGGTGGGGAGGAGGATGATCATCGTCTTCTTCCTCCGACCCATTTTTTCTTTCATTTTGTGCAGCACACGCAAAGCACCTAAAAAAAGCCGTTATCCCCGCTTTTGCCCCTCAATAAGAATGACGTTCTTTGTTCCCATGGCAATTAAAGCGATTGCTAGGCATTGGGTGGTTACTTGAAACCATAAGCCGACACTCATCTGTTTATTTCCAGGCACCATTCTGGACACATTACTGTTAAAACTTTCGAAAGTAGCACATCCGTGCCGTACATGTTTTGGGCGTGTATAATCCATAGAAACAGGTTTGACACTCATTTCTTTGTGCACCATGCAGCACACTTTCTCCTTTTAGATGCCACCCAGAGAAACTAGGAGGGGGGGGGTTATGACAAAATGATTCGACAGAAAGTATCTTACATCCCGCCCCTCTCCCTCCCCTCCGGGGCCAATAGGCTATTGACTTTTTTTCATAAAGTGTAAAGGAAAGCAGTATAATTCGTTGTTCTAGAACAAAAGGGGGGGAGGGGGCTTTTCAAAGATCGACTTTATGTAAGGCGGAAGCCGCAAACTTGCCAAATGGGTTTGTTGGCTCACTCATATAAACTCATGCATAAGAATATGCAGCAATACATCATCATCATCATCATCATCGCGGGGTTGTTTACCCGCCCTTCCGTTGCTTAGAGCACTTGCCTGCAAAAAGTGTTTATTTTGCTTGATGACGGTATACACCTATGCTGTTGGCTCTCATTGGATAATTTGCTTTTATTTCACACACACACACACACACACACACAGACACTGTATACGGTTGAGTTAATGTAAATGGCTACAGTATGTATATAATACGTCTTTTTACCCAAGGTGCTTACAGAAAAAAAGACTGCTGCTGCTCTACAGTATAAAGTATCTATCGAGATGTCCATCACGTCTGATATTCAATTAATTCTATATTGCGAGGGTAAAAGGAACGACCTCCTGTCATTCAAATGCAAATTAGACAGAAAGAACAGTGAAATCTAAACAAGTCTGTTTTTTTGGGTATCATATACACTGTAATTTTCATATGGGTTGGTCATCCTATTCAGGTATCAGATGGTAACGCTGTGTTGTTTCTGATTTTTACAGTATATAGTAGTCCAAAGAGCAAATCGCAACTATGAAGGCAAATGCTTCATGTAATTTTTAAAAGAGAGAGAGAGTGTCCATCGGATAATGTACGTCTTTTTCATGGAGGTGCAGTGTAGTTAGCAAAAAAAAAAGTAGTCAGGATATTCTATGTGACACATGTACATACCGACGGCTTTGTAATACTTTCCTTCTTCTTTTTAGAACTGGATAGCACTTGACGTCGTGCTATTGACCAACATACGGGTAGGTATCACGTACTCTCCCTTTTTCCACCAGCAGCACGATAGTTGTTGTTGTCTTGCGTTCAATAAAACTGAAATCGTGTTTAAAAAACGGCATATTAAATGTGATCAAAGCTGGATTTCCGGGGGGGGGTGGGGAATGACAACGGTGCGCTCCTTTTCATTGAGCTACGGATATCGCCTTTCTGTCGCTGTGACCAGGGAGCTTGTTATAGATTTGCAAGACGCCAGAAACCAGGACACTCCGGTACAAGTGCTGGTGGTGCATCGTCATACCGTCCATGTATTAAGAAATCCTCGCCTCCCATGGCTGTTGGCTTCCTCTTTGCTTGATCAAACGTGTGCAAGTTACATGAAGACATCAACGTCAACAACAACAACACTACTGTTGGGATCCAATGTTCCCCAGCTCAGCTAGTCCATGATGGGTCAATTTTACTTGTTCCATAATGGTTCTCTCTCCTCTCTTTCGCCTTCCAAAGCACAGGATGGATAGATCTTTTTTTGCGCCAGTAGTCCATACCCATCAAGTTGTGTGGAGACTGCTCATAATCGATCGTGATTTCTGTTAATACTATCGGGAAACAAGCTTGCAACTGCAAACACCCGGTCGTGCTCTTTTTGCTGCTGGTGCGCTCGTGTGTGTATGTGATAAGCTTCTGCAAGCGTTCCACAAACATGCGTGGCCCTCCACATAGACTGGACAACAGGGGATGATACGTAGAGCGTGTATCACTAAAGAATGTACGTCTTGACCAACGAATAACAGTCTGCGAAATAGCATCGCCTCTTCCAAGGTCCACGAAACGTTAGCAACCATTCCGGTTTCCAAGAATTACGCTGGACGACGCATACGGTCGCTCCCCCTAGCCCGCGAACGACGTCGTTTGTATATTCTGGAAGTAGTGCCACAGTGCAGTAGGCGTTGCTGTATGCATCTGATTGTAATCTCGTCTTGTCTTGCCTTTGTATGTTCTTGGGTGATACACACACACACACACACCCCTCTAATCCCACCAGATATATGTAATGCCCACAGTTGCTGGATGATGCCTTCAAACTTGACGAATCTGAACTGTTTGCGAGGAATCCTCGTGGCTATTTTCCCGTTTTACTGTCTTGGCTGGGTAGATGATACCCTTGTGCCTGCCTTGGTCGTCGAGATCTGTTTTATACCCGTGCTTTTGTCCTACGGTCATGGTCCCAGATTGACTCCCAATGAGGATGACAACGCACAGTATCCCTCGCTCACAGGAGAAGCCTTGAACGAACTGTCACATATCGGATGTATGAACGAGCCTTTGTAGGCATAAATGCTGGTTTAGGAAAGCTGTTGAGGAATGCGTCGCGGTGGACGATCATGGGGCCATGATAATGTACAATCTTTTCAAATGTTCCACGACAAACCCTATATGAAGTAGACTTCACAGCCGCGGTCAAAGACCGATGGCCTTTTACTATGCTATTATTATTATTATTTGAGGCGTAGGCACTGATTCAGATTGTCCGCTCCCTCCACTCCTTTTTGTTTATTGTTCCTCAGTCGCTTGCAAATGATACATATAGCTGTAACATATAGAATTAACATGTTTTAATTTCTTTGGTTCCAATCAAGAAACAATGATAACACAATGCATGTTTAGATGTGTTGTGAATAATGTGGTTGAGAGGATGTATATGTAAAACCAGTACATAGCAATTATAGGAGCTTTGTAAATGTATGGTGTGTAACTTTACCTAGTTTACTTTCCACAATCGGCCCAATTGTCCAATGACCCAATCTGGTCACTTGTCGCTGCTGTGCACACTGATTGATACACTGTAAGCATACCGAGAGATGATATCTTTTTGTACATAGTACGTATTACTTGAGGATTTGGTGATATTATAAACATGCCGACCGATATTTTTATTGCATACAAGAGGAAAAAGAAAAAGCTTGCAGTTGCCGCTTATTAGTTAGTAGGGTCATCCACCCTGGAATGAGTGATTGACCGCAAGGGACGAGAATATTTCTTTTCTTGAGAAATATCAAGAGTGACTATATTTGGAAATATCATGACAGCTGTCGTTTGAGTGGGTAGACCTGCTGGTGAAGGTCGCACCATCCATATTTTCTATAATTCAAAGTAGGTATACATGCTTCTTCTACTTGTATGTTTAAATTGAGCCAGTACATACGGTGATACACTGTAGGAAAATTCTTGTGAATTTGGACCCCCGCCGGCCTCATTCTTGTGGTTCTTGTGGATTTCTTGTAAATCTTTCTTCTCTTCTTCCCAAAAACTTTTTTTAAAAAAAATGAACACTAACCAAACACCTCCCAACGCTAACCTCAATCTCCTCCAAGTCTTCACTCGTGTGGAGCATCGTCTTATCAATGTAGAGACGAATCAAGCAATCATTCTGGACAAGCTCAGCCGGATCCTAACAGCGCAATCCCTAGTCGAGGTGCCAGTTGTCGATGAAGCAAAACTTGCTGAGACGGTTGCCCTCATTCCCCACCCAGTGGCCTCTGAATACCAAGGAGAAGATGGTGAAGAAAGCTAACAAGGATGATGTTGAGCGCCTTCTCCTTCAAGGCTACCACCAGTTTGAAGGTGGTGCTTTGATCAAAGCCCAGACGGACATCAAGCACATCCGCGAACGTGTTGTGGTCGATCTGGTGAAAAGATTGCAGAATCGTGCTGACAACAGCGTGACCCACTACTTTGCTAAGCTACAAAGCAAAGATAGCAACTGGGCTATTAGCCTTTTCATGAACCTGGCAAAAAAGCAGGGCATTGATTTTGCTGTCTGCCAGGGCCAGTGGGCAGCTCGCCATATCCTCCAGGAATGCTGGAATAACTACGGCAGATCCAGCAAGTCGAGAGCGGTTTCTAGGTATGATAACTACTACACTAGAGCAACTTCAATCAAATATATATTAACTATCAGGTAGACAACAAGAACCGGCTTCTGCTCTTCCTGCTTCTGCTTCTCTTCCTGTTTCCGCTTCTGCTTCTCTTCCTGCTTCTGCTTCTGCTTTTCTTCCTGCCCCTACCCCTGCCCAGTCCACGCAGTCTACCAAACGACGCCGTACGACAAAGCGGCTCGGAGCTGCTCTCCCCCACAAAAATAAACATAATTAAAGGGAAGGGAATTGATACGGGCACGACAAGTTATTTCCTTATATGTTCGGGGCACGACAAGCTCTAATAATAAATATGCTATGTTACACAGAGCTGCATAATAGCTGACACTCTTGTGTTAATTATAGCAGATGAGTGGTGTCGTGCCCGTAAGAAGCATTGATTTCTTGTTTCTTATTTATAAGTCTTCTGTTCAAATTTGCTCATAGATCACAGCCAGATTTTGATAAATCAAAGGATTCTGCAGTACAGTGTAAAATTACTTGATATAGGATATTCCATACTATTTCTAAATAGAATAATAAAAGTTTCATAGATATTTGCCCAGCAAACGTTTGTGCTATATAAATATGTACGTCAAGAAGAAGTATGTCATCAAGCTAACAGCTGCATTCGGTATAAATTAAAACCATTGAGAGACAAAGGAAATCTATGTAGAGGAAAATTAGAGAAGATATATATGATGGTTTAAAATGTAAAAAAGAGAAATACAAAGAGAGAAACCTTTCTATGTAGCGCTGTGAATGTGTGAAATATTAAGTATAGTAGAGGCGCTCTTGTACGAAAACGTGCTAAAGAATAAAACAAGGCAAGTTTCTACTTATACGTCTTCAAAATTTCCTCCTCACGGGCACGACGCGTCCCACCTACATATGTCATCGAACTGACTTCTTACATAATACATACGCGCTGTGCTTCTTACGGGCACGACATCACCCATCTGCTATAATTAACACAAGAGTGTCAGCTATTATGCTGCTCTGTGTAACATAGCATATTCATTATTAGAGCTTGTCGTGCCCGTATCAATTCCCTATGAAAAAAAGTTCATTTCTATACTACATACCACATCGAAATACATCGGCACACCACCACAACAAGATATAAAAGTTTCGCACGGAGACATGACAAGAGGAAGTTTTGGCGGGCTAATTCATCGAATGTGGAGAAATAAAACACACTATATATATTCAACATTGTTTTTATTTGGAGCAAAATGTCCTTCAAAAAAAACTCATAATTTCCATAATGAAAAAAAGGCGGCAGCAAGAAAACGCAATTTTACAAGAGTACAGTTTGCTAATCCTGAATAACCGCAGCACATTGTTTTATGGTTTGCAGCAACACATTGTACATTATTATCACTGGCGTTCGTTGGGCGGATTTGTTACCCTTTCTACTACTGCTTTTATTAGCTGTAAGATTGTTTTGCTTGATGTTATCTGATGGTATTACTCACTGCACATGCTTACCCAGACACACACAAATATATGTACTGTGCACAATCGTGTGGTTGAGTTGTCATTTTTAATGGCTGCAGTATGTAGAAGATCGAAACAAAGCAAGTCTTTTTTTGGGTATGATGTGTTTACTGAGTACTTTTGGTTGTTGTTTTTTTTTCCTTTGACATTGATTGATCAATCTACAAATTACATCTGCCAACGCTCTGTTTTTATGACATTAATTAGTCCGAGGAACAACGACATGTGGAAAAATGTGCCTTTCAATTTAGGAATAAAAAACTCTGTTAATCTTTAAGAGATAACCATTAAAAGACATACCAGGAACATCAATATACAATCGTTCTTTTATACGGACGGTAAGCCAACTAGAACATCCTGAAAATATTACTGTGCCATTGACGACTTACTCAGGAGGAGCAAGCGATGCTGGTAATGATGATGACTCGTCCGGTTTTCTTAATGACAACGGCATTCATGGTTGCGGGTTTTAATTCGCTTCTTGCACTTTTCGTCTTCATTAGAACAAATTCCATCTCTGACGTTATCTGACCAAAGCAATGGCAGTGTTCGGCACCCTTGCTCGGTCTTTTTCCAAGTCGAAAGGAAATTACAATCAATAATTCAAAATGTAAACAGATCAACGAGTTGCTTTAATTTCATCGATTGTAGATTTGCTTATTACGCCATCATCAACAACATGACGGTAGCAGTAACAGCAGCATCCAACAAAGAGCACAAAGCAGCAGCAAAAAAAAAGCATCAGCTTTACCGGGAATATAACGCTTCATGCATTCGCGCATTAGGGTGATACGGTAATGGATGCCTTTGAAAAAGTTGCCCCATGGTATGCGTTCATAGACAATTACGGCCTCGAAACGAGGTGCCCGCACATATTGGATTGCTTAATCTTGTCGATAAACTTGCCAAGAGCAATAAACACATTAAACTTAAACTTTGTGGTTTGGATCGAAAGCAACAAGAGTCCTTCATGAGAGATGGCTTACACTATACTATGCCAGCTGAAAGGTGGCATGCACCATATTATTGTTTAAATAATTGTACATAGCACTACTATAATACTAAATGTATCAAATAAACGAATGTAAAACGAATAAGTAGAAAGGCAAAGTTTTTTTTGGTAATACATAGCATTGAGCGAGCTCTTATATGTCTAATAGAGTCCAAATCAATATCTTAGGGTCGGGCACGCATAGCGGTCGATCCTAAACTTTGTTCCCGTAAGAGCGGAGTGTGTGTTTGTGTGCAGCACTTTTTTTGCATCATCTGTCAATCTCGCCTGGGTGTTGTACTGTATATATGCGAAGCACCATCATTTTCTGCACGCATCATGTAGAGGAGTTGATGGGTCTAGAAGAGAACAGCCAATTTAACGTTTTACATACGTACAAACAGCGACGTGATGATCTCTTGAACACGATGTATGTGTAAATCAGAGTTTTGCGCGAAAAGAACAACAGATATAAATGTGTGAGACGATAGAGCAGACAAGGCATCGTTTTTTTTGAGCGCGTGAACAACACACACAAAAAAAAGGTTTTTATTATGCCGTTGTATTTGGAACTCAAGTTGTCTTGTGTGATGTATGTATGTAGGTAGGTGTTTACAAATATAACGAAACGCAACAAAAGTCGGTCCAGACGGTACAGCGAAAGAAAGAAATCCCGTTCGTGTAATACTATGCGAAGAACAGCGCATAATACACACGTTACATACATGGTATATATATATATATATATATACGTACATTATGTCGTTCAATGATCTAGTTCCTGCAGGGGTAGCGGAAAGCAAACGACGAAAGCAAATGTCTTTTGGGAGATCCATACAAGGATTATACATGGCAAGTGACGTATCTATCGTTGCAACCATGGAAATAACACTTATTAGCGCTGTCTTAAATAGACCGGAGTATATAGACATTATTTTTGTTTACGTTTGAGACTTCGCATACCAAAAAAGCTTGTTATGAGAAAGCTACCATATTAAGGAACGAGGCTTTTCACGCGCCGCCAACAGCATCGTCCAGGCTTTCCAAAAGTCAGAGTGGACCACATAGTGTATGCAATAGACAAGTGTGTGTGTGTGTGTGTGTGTACCACCTGCTAGGTGACTTTTTCTGTCATGCTGCTACTTGCTCTTCCTTGCGTTATGTTCCTCCCGTGTACAACACCTCCTTGCATAGTAACCAAGGAACAGGAAAGCGGGTAACAACCGCTCATCCTGAACATATCTGTGCGATTACTACTCAAAGTACTGCAGCATCATATGGGGCTCTCTTTTTCTCTCTGCGATCTCTCGAGAATATGCAATATGGCGAGCGTGTAATATGCACATGCGGTACATGACGCATGCTCTCTACAATAAACATGCAAAAGGAAAGCGTCTTGTGTATCAGTATGCGTGCAAAAGTGGTGGGTTGGCAAAAGTGGTGGGTTGATTTTGAAGGACATACGTAGTGGTGCAGCAAGCAACAACAACAACAACAACAACAACAGCAACAAACAATCAAGTACAAACGAAATAGCCGTGCGTTCTGGTTCTTTTGTCTTTTGAGGACAGGTACAATAAGAATAATTATAGTAATAAATCATTATTATTTCTTTTTTTTAATCGGCTATGAAATAAGACAAAAGGAGGTCTCTCTCTCTCTCTCTCTTCACGTATTAAAACTAGCGGAGAAAGGGCCTCGCCTCCCCCCATCCATATTATTGACATTTCTTATTAATGGTTTATGAGGCGAAGAAGACGCTTATCTGGTTGCAGCAGCACTCGTCACCAGACTTGAAGGATATCTCTTTTGGGGATGTGTATAGTTGGCTAAATAGCAATAATGATTTTGGGGGGGGAGGAGGGTATAAGAGAGACAATGAGGGGGTTGTCTGTTAAGCTAACACACACACACACTCACTCACTCTCTCTATCCCGGAATGCCCTGCTTTGTTCGTCGTTCAGCTATCACATCACTCACACAACTGCCAAGCTAATTCATCATACTATAGTAAGGGGATGTTGTGAGGAATGGATGGCCTAAGCATTTTCTGGGTGTCCAGAATGGTTCTGTTCACAATCGGCTAACACGACGAGCGAGACATATAAGAAAAATCCGTCTTTTGTTGACTTGTTTAAGGAGGACAAGAAGAGAGAGAAAGAAAGAGAGAGAGAGAGGAGTTTGCGAGAATCAAACTTGGCAGCCAAAAAAGAAAAAAAAAAAGCTACTTGACCTTTTTGGTATGCCTTGCCGCATGTGTAATGCCTTGTCTGCCATGTAATAGCCCATGATCTCTGTTTTTTGTTTGCATTTTACTAATTTCTTTTACTCTGCAAACCCTTTCTCCCTCTCTCTCTCTCTCTCTCTCTCTCCTCTCTTTTCCCTTCTTTTCTTTCTTTGCGTATATTTCTATTGTATTTACCGTACTTACTCTGATATCACAGCATCGACAGTAATAGTGAAACCACAATATACGATGGCTTTCTTACAGTCGTCTCCTTCGACGCCGATACTCGTAGCCACTTCTCCGCTGTCACCACTAGACGATAGCAGCCGGTTAAAGTATGTTTGCACACCTTTGGGGGGGGGGGCAATACGTCCCATAGCTCTCAATCACAGCTGACATAAAAAAACACTCTACTCTAGACGGCGGTCAAAGTCACTTGACAATATAACCGTCAAACGCAAAAGTCATCTCTGGCATTACAATGACGATTCAACACCACCAGCTTCACCTGTCGTTTCCTTCGGACCACGCCCCGGATCGGAGGACGAAGAAGAAGAAGAAAAAGAAGAGCAAGACGAGCTATTATTACTCGGACAAGAGGAACGCCTCCGCCATCCTTATTGTGGTGACCGTCATCGTCCTCGTCGTCGACGTCGTCGTCGTCGTCGTCGCCACAGTTCCAGTGTGGAGCCAACCACGAAAGAATGCTTGCGCCTAGCTACTATTTATGGCTGGGTTACAGCAAACGCTTCCCATGATACCCGCATAAAGTAATGTATTCTTTTTGACAATTTGCCCTTGTGGTGTTTTATTTACCCTTAATTTTTTCTTTAGTCGTGCATCCCTATCATCATCAGTGTCACGAGACCACAAACAGCAACGAGCAATAAAGACTATTGCGAGTGGTGGTGGTAGTAGTAGCAGTGGTGTTCTTGCAGAGAATTGGCATCACTGCCAACACCAACAACAACAGCAACAACATAAACAGCGACACAAACAGCAGCTGCATACCTCACGCTCCTTTACGCAAGGGACCTCAAGTAAACTTTCGAATATGTTTGCACGCCGACGGAAATCGCTGCATTCATCGACGCCTTCCTCCTCTGTAATAGCAGGAACAGCACCTGCAACGCCCACCGTGACCAGCCTGACGAGCGCTAGCATAGGATCATCCTCCTCTCCTATCAGCAACAACAATTGTGACGAAGCCAAAGGCATTGTATCTGCCATTATTGCAGCTGCATCGTCAGAAGAGTTGGGCTGGGTGGGTGTTGAGGACAAGAGCAACGACTATGGTGATGATGTGTATGGCGATCAACAGCAGCAACAAGAGCCACCGTCACCACCTCCTGCACCACCGATTGAAAACGATCCACATGTATTTGACTTACTGGAGCGCAATTCAACCCGCTTTATCTATTACGGCAAACGGGATGATCCCCAGCTGACGTCTGCGACTATTGAGAAACTTGTCGAAAAACTTACCAAAGAAATGGGTAACAACAACTACTAACACTCTTTTTTTTTTCTGTGGTCGGTCACTTTATCTCTTATTAACCTGTCCTTTATTGTGTACGACCACCTTTATAGACTCGGAATTCCTGATGGATTTCTTCTTGACGTATCGCCAATTTGTATCTCAAATCCGGTTGTGTAAATTGCTTATTTTGCGGTTTCGATGGGCATTGATGGAGGATACGGATGAACGACGACTCGTACGAATCAGGTAAGAAGAAAAAAAGGATAAAATGCTTTTTCTTTGCCTATCTGGATGAGAGGAGGGGTGAGCTGGTTGGTGATGGTAGTGGTTGTGAAAGTTTGCGATAGTTTCTATTTTTAATAAGGATGCTATATAAACAAAATAACAACACAATGCTATCATTACAACAACAACAACAACAGTATAAAAACAATGAGGGGGGGGGCGATGGAAGGAAGGGTACATGGAGTGGGCTGGGAAGGGGTGAGGGGATGTAGCAAGGACTTTTTTTTTCGTTGACTGACCTGATGTGTGTAATGATGGATACAAAAAAAAATTAGAACGTTTGTAGTGATCCGTCACTGGCTGACACATTACTGGGCTCATGATTTCGTGCCATCACGCACGCTTCGGTTTATGCTCTGCACATTCTTATCCCAGCTCCGCACGCATCCCATCATTCTCTCTTCGCCACGCGATGCCCGTATCATCAAAAGCCTGCGCAATGTGCTAAAGCGCCAACGCAAACTGCACAGCATGAAGGAGGATGAAGACGGATCGATCCGCTCCTCTGTCGATACTTTTTCATCCTCAGCAACATCGACAGCAGCAATGAATTATCAGCAACAACAGCGCTGGTATTACAACAACAGTAGCTATGGAACCAGCAGTACAACAGCTACATCTCGTACCAGTACGTCGCACCACTACATGACCGCATCCTTGCCTACTACTGCTGGCAGAAGTCGAGGCTCGCGCAAGGACAGTGCAATTGGCATGACAACACCATCACCATCACAACAACTCAAAGAGCTCAAACCATCTATATCTACACCGACCTTTTTCTCACGATCTAGACGAGTGTCCAATAACTCGAATACCTCCTCCTCCTCCTCCTCCTACGCTCATCACAACCATTTCTACTATCACCACCATTATTACCGTAGTACAGCTCCATCTTGGACAGCCAAGGTCAATTTTAGTATTCGAAGTATCAAACGATCGGTACCGACCGTCTGTCAATCTTTATGGCATACTGTCCATAATCCTACTAGCAGCAGCAGCAGCAACAGCACCTCGGCTTCACACCATTATCAGGATCCTAAAGAAGGATGCACCTGTCCAACAGCAGCACTAGAAGGTAAAGGTGAGCGAAAACGAACCACCTCCTTGATCCGATCGGCGAGTCGCATATTCGAACAATCCTACCCCCGCACATCCATGTCTACTCCCGTTGGTACAACCACATCAACGACGACAGATCCAAAACATCCCAACCCATTATGTCCATTACACACTATTCCCATGACACCCACACCTTCACAGCGTGGTGATGGTGGCTCTTTACGAAATAGTAGTCGACTGAACAACAGGTGCCAGCAACATTATCATCAACCTAGTATTGTTGATCCACACATTGTCGATTACAAACCCTTTGTGCTCCAGTATAGATCCGAAATCATTGCCCAGCAGTTTTATATTATCGAGCAACAGATGCTTCAGAATGTGACGTGGGATGAATTGGCAGAATTGCGATGGAGAAACAACAGTACGAGGAGAAACTCGACAACGATCGACGTCGTGGCGGAACAAGGCGAGTTGGGAGGTGGAGGCATTGAGCAATTAATAAATTATTTCAACAAGGTAAGCTCTCTCTTTTTTTTACCTATGAGATGGGGTGTGAGAGACGCACACACAGAGAGAGAGATAGAGCGAGAACACCTTTCTTCTCCCTCATTCTATCTGTCAGTTATTATCATGTGTGCTAAAAATGGTAAAATTATATATGATTAGACATGCCAATGGGTTACTTCCGAGATTGTACAGAGTCGATCCTTGGATACACGAGTTCGTGCCATTGAAAAGTATATCCGCATTGCCCTGGTAAGTTTATTTTATTACAAGAAGCAATCTTACTTTATAAATAAACTAACTCTTTGCCCCCTTTTTTAAATACTACTACTTTAAAAGAAATGCTATCGCCACCGCAACTACAGTACATTAATGCAAATTCTTTTGGGCCTCCAATCACCAGCCGTATCAAGACTCGAAAAAACCTGGCAACGGATCGCCCATTATGAATCCGAGATATTCAACGAACTCAAAGAAATGGCCAAACCGTTCCGAAACTGGAAAAACGTGCGAATGGCCATGAACAAGGCAATCGAGAATATCGCAGAATCTTCTGCTGTTGAAAGTATTTTGACATCGAGTCATTTTATTGCTGCTGTCGAGGGTCGTCAACATCAAAGCAGCACTTGTGGTAAAAGGAATAGTAGTAGTAATAACGGTGGTGGCTATCGTCGTGCCACTACAGCTGCTGTGCCGGGTTGTATCCCATTCCTTGGACTTTATCTATCTGACTTGGTATTCAATGCCGAGCTGCCGACATTTATTGCTGCTGCTACAAGCCCATCCTCTCCTTGTTGTCCAACAAGTAAAGGAGATGGTATCATTCAAGAAGAGGAAGAAAGTGATGATGCAGAGCTGCGCTCGCGTCTAAGTACTCATTTGGTGAATTATAACAAGTTTCGAATTACAGGTAAGGCAAAAAAGTTATTAACAGGAATTGAGCCTGCCAATAACTCATATTTCTTTTTTTATCTTTTAGCATCTGTGATAAAACATGTGTTGGCCTTCCAGGTGTTATCCAGGACATACGACTTTGGTTACTGTTCAGAACTCTTTGCGCGATTAGAAAATCTGCGGTTTTTGGACAATGCCGAAATCCGAAAAGCAAGTCTTCTATGCGAAGAGTGATAGCTCAAGAATGCTTGCTACCACATCTATTCCACATCCCTTAAACCCATCCCTGCATTTATTTTACACAGCATTCACACATTATCATTCCTCACCAATCATACTTTACTATCTATTTCAATCCTATACACACGCACATTACAAAAAAAAAAAAAGACAGCCTTCTTTACTTATTCATCCTGTATGTAAATGTTATTTACTGAATTATTAATATATTTATTTATACATAGCTTTTTTTTCTTTTATTACTTGTCTTGCTCTTGTTGCTGGTTTTGAGAAGCTTTCAGTTCTTGACTACCAGCGTTTTTCGTGTTCGCTTGAAAGCATTGTCGGAATCGCTTCATTTCTTTTTGACACAAACGCCAATCTTTCTTGTCATAAAAGCATATTTGCAAGTCTTCGTTTTCTTGAGCACAGCCAGTGCGTTCAATGCGTGCATTATACGGATCGTCTTCCTCGTCCATTACGGCGTTTGACATTTTGTGTGGTGGTGGTGTATATGTATGCGGTCAAAAAATAGTATACGCAGCAACCACAAAAAAAGAGCCGGTCTATGGGGGTCTTTCCTTCCCGCTTCTTTAATTTTTTTTTATTTCCTTTTTACTCTTTCCCACCTCTTTTTCCACATACAACTCTCTATATATAAGAGAGAGAGTGAGTGGGCTCGCGACGAATGACCAGCTACATTAAATTCACACCCATCTCTGGAGCCAAGAGTGAAGACGCGTTATGTTATTTGCTCGAGATTGACGAAGTCAAGATCCTGTTAGACTGTGGCTGGTCAGACAAGTTTGACGTGGAAGATCTAGTTACTTTGAAAAAGTATATACCATTGAAACAAATCCATTTTTACGTTCTTCAAAACTTTTGTTCAAGAACTAATATATATTGAACGATTTATTTTAAAAATCATTATTAGGGTCGCAAAACAGATTGATGCCGTGTTAATATCCCATTGTGACCTGAGCCATCTTGGCGCATACCCATATGCAAAAAGTCAACTAGGATTAAAATGTCCTGTGTATTCTACAGTACCTGTGGTCAATATGGGTAAAATGTGCATGTACGACTTACACCAATCGAAAACGAACGAAGTGGAATTCGATACATTTACGTTGGAACATGTGGACGAAGCGTTTGATAAGATTACCTCTCTGCGTTATTCACAACCTTATGCCTTGCCTGGTAAGAAAGAAACAAAAAAGAGTTCTGGACTTGTTTTAGGTTGGCACCCGTATAGATAAAAGAATAATTAACCTGGGGAAAACACAATTAGGCAAGTGTCAAGGTATCACGATTACGGCATATGCAGCAGCACATACAATTGGTGGTACAATTTGGAAGATCAAGCAAGATACGGATGAAATTGTCTATGCAGTGGACTTTAATCATCGAAAAGAGAGGTAATTAATTTCATTTGAAAAGGATAACACTGATTCTCGGTTGGCGGGTGGGTGGTAAAGAAAGATACTAAACGACGCGTTTTTATGTTTGTTTTCCTCAGTCATCTTGACGGAACAGTATTACACTCCAATGGCAACGTATTAGACGCATTAACACGACCGTCATTACTGATCACAGACGCGCTCAATGCGGCAGTCGTCCATCCACCACGAAAAGATCGCTATGCAGCCATGTTTGATACCATGATGACCACACTTCGCAGCGGTGGCTCCGTGCTACTCCCTACCGATTCTTCAGCACGCGTCCTGGAACTGTCTTATTTGCTCGACAAACACTGGACACAAAACCAACTCACCTATCCATTGATCATGCTCACCAACACCAGTTACCACACCGCCCATTTCGCCAAGATCATGTTGGAATGGATGGGCGACGACTTGACACAACACTTTTCACAAACGCGCGAGAACCCCTTTGATTTCAAATACCTTCGTCTGTGTCACAAATTGGAAGATCTCGACGTTTATTCTGGACCCAAGGTTGTCATTGCGAGCAATAATAGTTTGGAAACCGGGTTTGCTCGCGATTTGTTTTTACGATGGATGGGGGAAGAGCCACGGCCAGTGACGCATAATACCCTAATATTAACCGATCGATCCGCGCCGGGTTCGCTTGCTCGTCATTTACACGACATATGGGACGAACGCACCACAGCTGAGGCTGCTGCTGCAGCTACAGCAGACGATAACACCACCACCACCATCACGACCCACAAAACTAATGCCCGCGTCATTAAACCATCCATCGACTATAACGAAACGATGCACATGACGGTCTATAAGCGGGTACCACTTGAAGGCGAAGAATTGGCCGAATACGAAGAACGACAACGGGAAAAAGCCGAGCGTGATGCCGCACAAGCCGCCATCATTGCACGTAGTAAATCCATCATGGAAGAAGACGAACTATTATCCGACGAATCCGATATAGATGAAGCCGACGACACAATGGAGGATCTTTTGGGCGACCAATTTGATTTGTATGTCAAGGACGCTGGGCGATCGGGTGGATTTTTCAAGCAAGCACAAAGTTATCGCATGTTTCCTTATTTGGAACGACGTAAACGGATAGACGACTATGGCGAAGCGATCCAAGTCGAACATTTCATGAAGGCTTCTGATTTGGATCGATTACAGTTGGAAAAGGAGGAAGGAGAAGGTGGTGCCAATTTTGGCAACAAAGAGGATGATATGGTGATTGATGCTGTAGAGCCGCTTTTGCCTGGTAAAGATGAAAAGCCAATGAAGTATATCACGACCGAACAAGACGTTACGATCCAGTGTCGATTACGCTATGTGGATTTGGAAGGATTGTCAGATGGGCGTTCCATGAAAACAATTCTGCCACAGATTGCTCCTCGTAAATTGGTAAGCTTCTGTTTTTTTTTGTGAAATTTTCATTGAGAATGGTTGAAATGAAAAGGATATCATCATACCTCAAAAGAAAGAAAGTCTAAAATGGAAGGGGTTTTTCTCTAGATTATTGTTCATGGTTCCACACGGCCGACCGAAGAACTGGCTCAAGCATGTCGCAACATGGATCATTTTACCAAAGAAATCTTTACGCCCGATATTAGCCAAGTCTTGAATGTCAGTGCAGCAACCAATATATACAGAGTTAGGCTGACGGATGCCATGGTCAGCTCATTACAATTTTCCAAAGTAAGCAGAAAAAGGCACTCGAAAAGTCTTATGAGAGATATATTAGCAAAAAACAACAACATGTTGTATCTGATCTTTTTGAAATCATTAGCTTGACGACTATGAACTTGCACGGGTATCCGGACGGATCCATTACCCTACCGATTCAACCACACCCTCCCTGGATGTAGACACGTCTGAACAACCATCGCGGAAATCACCTTCCGTGTTTGTCGGTGACATACGCCTAAGTGAGTTCAAGCGTGTTTTGCAAGCGGAAGGCATTTCTGCGGAATTTAAAGGCGAAGGTGTGCTCGTCTGTAATGATTGTGTGGCTGTTCGCAAGGTAAGCCCGGGTTTTTTATATTGTTATCTGATGATGATCATCACAACAAGTTCCCACCCCCGGATCTTCGATAAACCTGACATTTTTTTTATCTGTAATGTAGACTGGTACAGGACAACTGTTAGTGGAAGGCATATTATCCCCCGACTATTACAAGATTCGATCTCTTTTGTATGCACAGCATGCGATCCTGTAAAAAAAAAACTATATAACAACTGTAGATATTTGTGTGACCTTTCAAAAAAACAAAACATTTTGCATTTTGACAGCTTGAACATGCAAGCTTGTTAACGGGCTGGTCCAATTGAATAATGCAAAGAGGATCTCCAGAGAGTGGAGAATGAATAAGGGTGCACGTGATTATTTGAATGGATGATACTCGATTAATAAAGGATAGGTGCTCGAGCAAAGTACGTAAAGCAGCACGGCGGATGGTAACATTATATTTCAGAGGCATGTGGTGCAGCTGTACTTTTTCTTTTCTCTTTATCATGATTGGCCTTTTCTATACATTGTCAGGGTATATGGAGATCTTAACGACAGAAGAAAACTAGCAGCGGCTGTTTTACTCAAGTAGAGCCCAAGAGCTACCATTGTTTTGACCGCTGGTCTGGTTTTAATTTACCTCTCTTCCTCTCAAAACCACCATCGTCATCAACCAACTGTCAGCAATGATACTTAAAAAGAAACGTTGTGCGATGTAAAGCTTTCTTCGGGTGTCATGTTGGAATTAGTATTCCGCCATTCATTTCATCCGATAAGTGATAAAATCGTTATCTGCGTTCACTCACATGTATATGAGGAAGACCTATTATGTTCCTTTGCTTTCTTATACACCATAATATAAATTACATGCACGTATCGAGGAGCAGATGCTTAATGCATAAAACATTCTAATAAATGTGTTGCGTTTCATCTGTTGTTGAGAAGAATTACGTATATAAAGCCACCATGACGACAACGACAACGAAAAGGCGGTTGCCATTAAAATGATACTATTTGGCCTTGATCTGTACTCAATTTATTACCATGGTTACATTTCGACTTTGGACAAAGAGGACAAAAACAAATTTTCCTTGTTCCTCACTAACATGGATCAGTTCTGTACCACTTTGCGCATGACAATCAAACGCGCGTGTTTCTGTCACAAGATGTGAGCAAGAGTACCATTCTAGCGAAAATAGCATAAAATTATTAGCATTTGAATGTCTTTTGGCCGTTTAAAAAGTGTAAGTTGTATAGAATTTTACACAGCTATTTGGTAATCTTGCTGTACGATCGATGATACAAGACGTGGGGCTAAAAGGAAAGCTCGGTTTTCCTTTGTTTTCTTTTTGCACGCACGCGTGTAGTTGCATAATTGTTACGCTATGCATGATACACACTTGCCCCTACTGTTTTTTTAAAAAGTAGTATCTCGCCTTCCAATGGCCTTTATCAAAAAAATAAGCAGATAATCTGCTTGTTCTGCTCGATTCTTTCCCCACTTATTTCTCTCAATGGCCCAATCGGAGAAAGGCTTTCCCACCATAACGAATGACAAACGCGGGGCTTGCATCAGTAAGCAGTGTCACACAGCAACAAGCAATGGTCTACGCATTCACCCCCCATCGGCAACCTTACTCACCCCCCCTTTTCTTGCCTTGTTCGTAAGCAAGAATCCCAAAGCACCCATTAGTTTCCTTTCACTCACAATGGCTGTTGGAGGGTGTGCTACTTGATACATGCACAAAAAGGGGTAAAGTATAGGAAGCGAGAAAACTTATTTTGCAGTGTGTAGCTGATGGGATTAGTTCCCATGCACATACACACACACACACTTCATATACACAAAAGCACGTATTTAGACAAAGGTAAAAGGGTGGCACGCATAATAAGCAGAGGAGAGAGAATATAGGACCTGAGAGGGTGTGTGAGCTATAATACGCTTAATGTGGGGTTGGGTGCCAAATTGTGCTTTGACCGGTGCTTTGTAATCGGTGGATCCTCGACTGTGATTGGCCAAATAGACGGGTGGGGGTGACTTGGAGGGTATCATGAAAATTCACAAAAGTAGAACCCCCCAAGCATGATCTTCGGGATTTAGTGTGTAAGCCAACATATAAAACCAAGGCCTGCCAGCGCCTTTTTCCTTTCCTGCTT